TAGTATCTCAGCCGCTCCGTGGACCGTGAGCTTCGTGGAAGGTCAAACGCGGAAGATCCCTGGGGGGGTTTGATCACCCGCGAAGCTGCTCACGGTCCACCCCTAAACCGCGATCCACCGCACAGACCGTGGCAGCAGATGCCGATGCCCGATGCACAAATTGGAAAATTTAAAACTCCTCCAGCAGTGTGTGACTGCTGTGGCCGTCCGGAAACAGAGACCGTAACGATGCAACGCCCCGGTCCACGGACGCCGAGGGAGACATCGCGGCGACGATGGCACCCCGCTGCTCCTGACGCGGTGAACCGTGGCTTGACCACGTGAATGTGAAATTGTCGTCGTTGCTCTTGCATCTACATCAGCCGCCGTGCGACAAGAGGGAGAATCTCAGCCCCCTAAGGAGGAGGCCCCATTGAGCTCAGTGGCTCCGTCACCGGGACGATAATAGGCGACGTTTCAAGCTATGGGCCTTGCTCTGAAGAAGGGCCATTGCTAGGAATGTTGCCTATTATTATTTTTCTTTTTAAGGCCACGGTGTTATTGACGAATGTAACGGGTTTATTTTTTTCTATCAGTAACTAATGGTGATCATTATTAATGTATTATTTTCCAAAATGTTTGTTCCTTTTTGCCAGCTGTGACGATTGTTCTGACGCAGAGCGTCCTCTCTGTGATTGGATGTAATCGATCACATGCAGACTATTTCATAGATGCCCCGTTTGATTGGGTCGAATTTGTGGAGAAGATGATGATGATGATGCCGTTACCTTGGAGTGACCCTTTGAGTCACGATGTTGTGAACTTGACTTTCCCCGCACACATTGCGACAGAGAATTGTTCATCGCATGGAATAGTGATGAATTTATTTATTTATTCTGATTCCAATCTTAGCATCTTGCCACCGTGGACGCTGGCGGTGGCTAGGAGATGTTGACTACCTCGCCTGGTGTGCAGAAGGTCGTGGGTTCGATCCCGACCCTGACACCTGCTGTATGTTTGTAGTGTGCATGTCTCTCTCTCTCATCATCACAGTGGCTAAGAGATATTGACTACCTCACCTGGTATGCAGGAGGTCGTGGGTTCGATCCCGACCCTGACACCTGCTATATGTTTGAAGTGTGCATGTCTCTCTCTCTCATCATCACGGTGGCTAGGAGATGTTGACTACCTCGCCTGGTGTGCAGAAGGTCGTGGGTTCGATCCCGACCCTGACACCTGCTGTATGTTTGTAGTGTGCATGTCTCTCTCTCTCATCATCACAGTGGCTAAGAGATATTGACTACCTCACCTGGTATGCAGGAGGTCGTGGGTTCGATCCCGACCCTGACACCTGCTATATGTTTGGAGTGTGCATGTCTCTCTCTCTCATCATCACGGTGGCTAGGAGATGTTGACTACCTCGCGTGGTATGCAGGAGGTCGTGGGTTCGATCCCGACCCTCACACCCGCTGTATGTTTGGAGTGTGCATGTCTCTCTCATCATCATCACGGTGGCTAAGAGATGTTGACTACCTCGCCTGGTACGCAGGAGGTCGTGGGTTCGATCCCGACCCTGACATCTGCTGTATGTTTGGAGTGTGCATGTCTCTCTCTCTCATCATCACGGTGGCTAGGAGATGTTGACTACCTCGCCTGGTATGCAGGAGGTCGTGGGTTCGATCCCGACCCTGACACCCGCTGTATGTTTGGAGTGTGCATGTCTCTCTCATCATCATCACGGTGGCTAGGAGATGTTGACTACCTCGCCTGGTATGCAGGAGGTCGTGGGTTCGATCCCGACCCTGACACCCGCTGTATGTTTGGAGTGTGCATGTCTCTCTCATCATCATCACGGTGGCTAAGAGATGTTGACTACCTCGCCTGGTATGCAGGAGGTCGTGGGTTCGATCCCGACCCTGACGCCTGCTGTATATTTGGCGTTTGCGTGTTCTTCCCCTGGTCGAGTGGATTTTTTTTTTCCAGGTCCCCTGACTTTTCCTTCCACATTCAGAAACATGAACGGCTACATACGGTGAGAAAGACGTTCAACATACATAGGACAGTTGAGCTATCATTTGTGGCCAGGTCACTTCTGAAAATTGGGCCAATAGCTTAGTGGGAATTACCTGGTAATATTATTGTTCTTACGTGTTTGTTTTAGTTTACGGGTCTCTATGGGTCTCTATATTCGTGCAGAGTATTTGGCTGCTATAAATGTCCGCGTGATGAGCCACTTTGTCGAGCTATCATTTGTGGCCAGGTCGCTTCTCAAACACACAAAAAGAGCTACACAGCTCAGCGGGCCTGTCCTGCTCAAATAAAAGAGAGTTTTAGTTTAGTTGGCTGCCTTGTCAGACTCAGGACTCTCTCTGCGAAAGACTCAAACCCACACCCTCCCCCCCCCCCGAAAGAATCGTTGTGTCCCTGACCCCTCCACCCCGCCTTCCACAGGCGTCGGCTGGGCCACTTCTTGCAACTTAAGTCAAAACACCTGACGCTGTAAACCACACACACACACCGCCGCCCATCTCTCGCTGTAAAAAAACGCTTCTGAGAGATGGCATCCCCTTGGAGAGAGGCTCTCACACACACAGCAGAGAGAGATAGGAGTCGGACGCAAGTGAGATTTCCGCTTCGCACGGAAGTGGCAAACAAGGACCCTTTGGAGTTTTGGTATCGTAATCCCCCCCCCCCGCCACCCCCCCCTCCTGGCCGCGTGCCCCCCACCCCCTCTCTCACCCCCCACCCCCCCCAACAGCTCCCCGCCTCCCTCCCCCCACGCTGTGGATCAGCGGGCACACGCTGGGGGTCACACGGCTCACAGAGCCACAGAGCCGTCAGCGCAGGCGGGGTGACGGGTGGCACTCGAGTACAAGCGGAGACGCCGGGCTCCCGCCACGGTGTTGAATTCTCGGTCACACGCGTTGGTGGTGGGGTGACACTGATTCTGCTGCTCCTGCTGCTGCTGCTGCTGCGTTGGCAGCAGTGCACAAGCGCAGTGAACAACAACAACAAACTCAGCATGTCCCGTGTCAATAACGACTGCTGTGGCCTTAAAAGGGGGGGGGGGGGGGGGGGGATATATGTATTTATATAAAGGGTAGCGTTTATGAAGAAGATGGGTCATTGCCCGGAACGTCACATTATGTATTTTTTGTCTCCCTTTAAGGCCGCGGGTGTTATTGACGAATGTGTTGAGTTGTGAGTAGCCTTATATAGACTGGTGGGGTGAGTGCTGTTAGCGAGCACCTATTAAGGCACACGACGGGGTGGGTGGCCAGTACCGCGCCCGGCCACCTTTTTTCCCCCGAGTGGCGATGTTTACCCACCGCACCGGGTACACATTTGAGGCTGAGTCGACCTAAGGGGAGGGCCCAGGACCGGTTCAAATAACCATCGCCACTGTGATCGGTCGCGTTCTGGAATCGAACTCGGGCCACCGGGACGCGCGGAGGCAAGCGCTCTCACCGCTCCACTCGGCAAAGACTTCGCGCGAAAGGTAACGGAGGCGGAAGGGTCCCCCGGTGTCGCCTTCACAGGCTGCTGGGGCGCAAGCGCTGTTACGCAAGCAGCAGCAGCAGCACCTGTGAAGGCCGGCACCGTGGCCGGCGGGGTTGGTGGCCACACCGCCACGGCCGCACGCCCACCGCTCGCTCAGGAATAGTTGGTGCCCCCTGCCATGTCGCGCATTCCACATTCCTTTGGTTCGGGTTACGGGCGTGGGGGTGGAGGCGGGGGGGGCAGCCAACACAGCTCGGGCGACTGGTGGTGCGGGGAGGAGGAGGGAGGAGGAGGAGGAGGAGGAGGTTCCGTCGCATCTCGGCAGTGACCGTTCCGTCGACCTCCTGAGCCCGCCGCGCTGCACCCGCCGCCCCCGTCGCCCCCTTGAGCAGCGGACGGCGGCGAATCGAAAGGCGAATTCGTGTTGGTGGAACCTGCGCTCAGGCGCGGTGGAGGTGGCTTTTCGTTTGTTTTTTTGTTTACTTATTACGTAAAATGACGATGATGGTGGTGGCGGCGGCGGTGGCGGTGGTGGTGACGACGACGGTGCTTTGTGTAGCTTGGTCACTGCGGTGGAGTTGCCGTTGATGGCGATGGTGGGAAATGCGGCCGGGGACTTTGGGTCGCGACGCAGCAGCAGCTGTGCTCATGTGTGTGCACGCGCTCGTGTGTGAGACGGTGTGTGTATGCGCGTTGTTGTGTGTGTGTGTGTGTCAGTGTGCATGTGTGTGTGCCGTGTCGGCCTTCATAGGTGCTCGCTAACAGCACTTGCCCCCGCAGTCTGTTCAGGCAATACGGGGGATCTTCGTCTGTGTGTGTCTTTGTCTGTTTGCATGTTGGTGTGTACATGTACGTTTGTCCATGTGTGTCTGTATACATGTGTGTGTGTGTCTGTGTATGTCTGTGTGCTTGTGTTTACATAAGTCTCAGTGTCCCGCGCTGCGCTACGATCCCGGCGACCCGGGTTCGATTCCTGCTCACGGCCAACACCAGTGGCGATTATCTGAACCGGTCCTGGGCCTCCCCTAGGTCGACTCGGCCTCAAATGAGTACCTGGGTGCGGTGTGTAAAAACATCGCCACTGGGGAGCCGAAGGGGGGGGTCGGCCGCGATGCTGGCCACCCACCCCCTCGTGCGTCGTGAGGTGTAGACTACTTCGCCCGGTACACAGGTCGTCGTCTCGATGCCGACCCTGATGCCGGTATATTTGTGTCCCTCCCCGTGGACGCGTGGATATTTATCCGTGCCCTCCGGTTTTTCCCTCGACATTTAGAATCAACATCGCGCGTTCAGAGTATTTGGCTTCTGTCCACACGACGGTGATGAGCCGCTTTCGTCCAGCTATCATTTGTGAAAGTCAGCTCGCTTCTGAAAAAGGGCTACATAGCTTCAGTGGGACCTTACCCGGTTGAAATGCAAATCGCAGTTTTTTTATTTAGGCGCTACTCGCGAACAGCACTTGCCCCGACAGTCTGTTAAAGCTACGCGTTGAGGGATCTTTGTCGTCTTTGTTGTTGCAGGAACGGGAGAGGCTGGAGACCATCCTGAACCTGTACACGGGCGTGGGGCTGGGCCCTGAGCGTGGAGCCCCCCTCTCGACGGACAGCTCCACTGCTGGGGGGGGGCCGCAGGCCCAACGCGGTGACGGTGGGGGGGCCGCATGCCTCCACGGCGAGATGTCTCGACTGCGGCTCGGAGACGACGCTCGTGAGATACGCCACCACCACCGCCACCACCGCAACCACCACCGCAACCACCGCCGCCACCACCGCCATCGCTGCCACCACCACCACCGCTGCCACCACCGCTGCCACCACCGCCACCACCACCACAGCCACCACCGCCACTACCGCCACTACCGCCACTACCGCCACCACTACCGCCACTACCGCCACTACCGCCACCACCACCGCGACTACCGCCACCACCGCCGCCACCACCGCCACTACCGCCACCACCGCCGCCACCGTCTCCACCGCCACCACCACTGCCACCACCGCCACCGCCGGCCACGACCGTCTTCACCGTCACAAACACCATGACCGCCACATCCACCACCACGACATCCGCTCGACCCCCCCCCCCCCGCTCCCGAGTCTGCCTCATCATTCGTTCGTTCGTTCACGCGCTCACTCATTCAGTGATTCAGTAGTTCGGCTCTTACTGTTGTTGGCTTGCTCGGCCCGTCACTTGCCTTGTCCACTCATCGTCAACGTCATCGCAATCCGTGGGCAGACAGCCCGTGGATGTCCACTGCACATTTCGTGTCATGTTTCCACTTTCCTCTCTGCCTTGTGCCAATGTGCTCAAGTTCGTCCACTCATTATCCAGTGTCAAAAGAATGGAAACATAAGAATAGGCTTTAACCGTTCTGGCGGTAATGCAGGAGGTGTTAAGATGTTCAGACACCACGTAGACACCGTGCTGTTCGCCTTTTGACCTTCTCTGGTCAAATACTGGTGAGACAACGGCTGCCTCTGGTGTGGGCCAAACAGTACCAAAGATAATGCATCGATTATCAGGGCATGCTTGTTTGCATGTTTTTGCCACAAGTTTGTGTGGCGAATGCAGACTCAATGCCTTGCAAGAGGTGTCTATTTGGTGTTTGAGCATCTTAACGCCCGTTTTGTTTTGCCAGAACGGGTAAAGTCTGTTCTTAGTTTTTCAAAATGTATTCATTCAATCACTCATTTAATTATTCACTCACTCCATCAGTCGTGTGCCATCTCATCTTCCCCTCGCACGTAATTAAAATCGCTCACTCAATGAATAATTCATTAATTGACTTGATCAACCAATCACTTTTAAACAAGTGAAATGCATCAATTAATACATTCCCTTAGTTATTTACTTGCTCAGACGAACACTCGCTCGCTCACTCACCAGCCACCTACTCACTCACCCACTCACCGACTCACTCACTCACCAGCCACTTGGTCACTCACTCACCAGCCACCCACTCACTCACCCGCTCACCAACTCACTGACTCACTCACTCACACATCCACTTGGTCACTCACTCACCAGCCATCCACTCACTCACCCGCTCACCAACTCACTGACTCACTCACACATCCACATGGTCACTCACTCACCAGCCACCCACTCACTCACCAGCCACCCACTCACTCACCAGCCACCGACTCACTCACCCGCTCACCAACTCAACTGACTCACTCACTCACCCTTCCAATCGGTCGCTCACTCACCAGCCACCCACTCACTCACCAGCCACCCACTCACTCACCAGCCACCGACTCACTCACCCGCTCACCAACTCACTGACTCGCTCACTCACCCATCCAATCGGTCGCTCACTCACCAGCCACCCACTCGCTCACCCGCCCACCCACTCACTGACTCACTCACTCACACATCCACATGGCCACTCACTCACCAGCCACCCACTCACTCACCCACTCACCCACTCACTGACTCACTCACCCATCCACTCAGTCGCTCACTCACCAGCCACCCACTCACTCACCAGCCACCCACTCACTCACCAGCCACCCACTCACTCACCCGCCCACCCACTCACTGACTCACTCTCTCTCTCACTCACGCCCTCCATCCGTCCAAACGACCCACGCACGCCCATTCTCTCATCCCCTCGCTTGCCGATACGTTCACATGCGCCCGCGTGACCAGCCACATTCCGTGCGTACGCAACCACCCCCACGCGTACACGCACGGGGGTGGGGGGGGGGGGGCAGTAACAGCTGAGCACATATTGCTTCCAAACACACGCTTGCTCGCGCGCAACACCGCAGACCGTGACGCTTGGTCAGGGATCGCCCGGAGGGACGGAGGGACACGTCTAGGCGTAGCCCGCGAATGAGCGACTCGCGAGGTCCGCAATGGCCGTGTCGGGGGACTTTTGTGAAGCGCAGTCACCTCGCCGACCTCGTGAAGGGAGCGTCGGCCACTCCAGTGTCACGCTCGCAGCGGCAGCAGTGGCAGCGGCGGTATTGGCGAACCATCGAGCGAAGGCGGCGGTCACCGCATCGCTCGCTTCCGGCACTTGACCGTGTAGAGATGAGGGGCGAGGAATGCTCGGCGTCCACCCTGAGGGGGTCTTCAGTTTGTGGGAGCTTCTATCAGGGGCGCCGCGGTGGCTGGGAGATGTTAACTACCTCGCCTGGTGTACACAGGAGGTCGCGAGTTCGATCCCAACCCTGACACCTGCTGCTGTATATTTGTAGTTTGCGTGTCTCTCTCTCTCTCCGCGCGTGGTCGAGAGGATTTGTCTCCGGGGCCTCTGGTTTTTCCGCCACATTTAGAATCGACAAACCTTCAGAGTGTTTGGCTGCAATAAATTTCCACGTGACAAGCCAGTCCGTTGGGCTATCGTTTGTGGCCAGATCGCTTCGGAAAAAGAGCGACATAGCTCAGTGGGCCTTACCTGGTAAAATAAAAAAAACTAAGTTGAATCCTCTTAGTTCTTTCGGTGAAGTCACGTAGAAGGGAAATAATAAAATAATGTTTCATTTCGCTATTATTTTATTATTTCCCTTCTACGTGACTTTACCGAAAGAACCAAGAGGATGCATCCCTGCAGTCACGGAAGCTTTAAATCGAAACTAAGTTTAAGTTTAGTTTAGCATTCTCAAGGGAGATTGGGTGTGGGAAGATACACACACACAAACACTTTATCGTATTGCAATTGTGTTGTAATAATTTCAGATTCGCCATGTGCACTGGTTGTTGACAGCATCAGTACAAACACACAAACAAAATCCTTCTCTACCGTGTGGAAAAATCGATAACAGCATCAGCAGCAGCTGCAGGCGGCTGCAGGCAAGCAACACACCCAGATGACTTTGTCTAGCGTCTAACCCACCAGATGTCTCTGTCTAGCGTCTAACCACCACATGTCTGTGGTTGTTTAAACGCCCACAAAAAAAAAACCGCCCTTCAGATCTCGGTAGGAGACCTTTGATCTGAGTGATGTTGGGCCACCAGTCTGTCCGCTGCTGTGCTTGGCCTGACACGCTGCTTGCAGGTGCATGCGTGCGTGCGTTTGATCTCGTGGGGAGCGGGAGTGCAGCGGTTAGCGCTACGCTGCGCCGTGAACCCGGGGAGCCGGGTTCGATTCCCGCTCGCGCCCAACAACACCGGTGACGATTATTTTAACCGATCCTGGGCCTCCCCTGGGTCGACTCAGCCTCAAACGAGCACCCGGTGCGGTGCGTGAGCATCGCCACTGGGGAGACAGAGGCGGCCGAGCGCGGTGCTGGCCACCCAGCCCCCTCGTGTGCCGTGCCGGTGCTTTATAGGTGCTGCTCGCTCACAGCACTTGCCCCTACAGTCTGTTAAGGCTGAGCAGAGAGCGCTCAGTTCACCGAGATGCTCAGGGCTCCAGGCTCCGTTCCCCAAATCCGAGAGCCTCCGGATCGTATTCTTGTCGTCGTATCGAGGTCCGCGATGTGAAAGCCAATCGGTTTGACGATCGTCGTTGTCACTCCTAGCGGCGTCATCGCCATCGTCGTCGTCGTTTTTGCCATCATCATCATCATCGTCACAATTATCGATATCATCATCATTATTGGTATCAATAATTCTTGTTGTCTTCATTGTTATCATCATTGTAATCATAATTATGCCGTCATCATTATGGTCATAATTATCATGACTGCCATCTTTATTATCACCACCGTCATAACCATTGGCATCATTATTATAATAATTATTATTGTTGTTATTCGTCCTGTTATCATCATTGTCCTCATATTCACGATCATGTTTGTCACAATTGTCTTTATCATCGGCATCATCATCAATTTGATAATTAACATCATGACTCCCATCATTACCATTGTCATCATCAGCCATGGTCTCTTCACTGCTGGAGGAAATCCTTTCCATGACACCGCCATTCATAAAAAAAGACACCTTCGATACCACACGCCAGCACACGAGAGGGTGGGAGCGCGTGGTGGGGTGCCGGTGCTGGAAGCATTTCAAAAACCTGCCCCGTCGTTTCAAGCGCCGCGGTGGGAGATTCCAGAGCCGGCGACCTCTGCACGGCAAGTTTTACCGCGCTGCGCATTGACGGCCTTGGCCAGCGGGCGAGAATGTGCTGCGACAGCCGGTAACGGGCTGCACGTACCCACAAAGACAGCGCGCGAACCGCCGCACTCCCGCTCCCAACAAAGAAGACGCCCCGTATAGCCTTCAATCGACTGTTGGAGCAAGTGCTGTTAGCGAGCACCTATTGAGGCCGCAACGGTACACGAGGGGGTGGGTGGCCAACACCACGGCTTGCCGCCTTTGTCTCCCCAGCGGCGATGTTTACACACCGCACCGGGTACTCATTTGAGGCTGAGTCGACCTAGGGGAGGCCCATGACCGGTTCAGATAATCGTCATCGGTGTTGGCCGTGAGTGGGAATTGAACCCGGGTCACTGGGGTTCGTAACGCAGCGCGCTACCCGCTACACCACCGCTCCCCTCCCGACACATGCGCACACAGACGCACACACAAGCGCGAGACACACGCCGGAGCAAAGCAACGTTCAGCGTAATATTCCCCGCAGGGCTCCGTGGGACTCTTTAAATCAGTTCGTACTACTTTCCGCATTTCGGGTGAACGCTAATTGGAAGCGCTCAGAGCGAACGGTCGCAAGGGAGCAGAGAATTCACTTCCCGTTTTATGAAACCTAAAAATAAATGAATCGCACCCACACACCACGCACACTCTCTCGCTCGCTCTGTGCCCCGCAGCCCTGATTTACGTTCACACGTAAATAGTGCAGCCAACCGGTTAAGCGCCCGTACGTGGCGCTGTAAGTCGGAAAGCGGTAGTCGCACGCATAATATAAGTGGGCGCCACAGTGGCTGAGATGTTAACTACCTCGGCCGGTATACAGGAGGTCGTGGGTTCGATCCCCGACCCTGACTCTCTCCCCGTGGTCGCGTGGATTTTTCTCCGAGGTCCTCCGGTGTGTCCCCCCCCCCCCTGCCCCCTCCACATTTCGAATCAACACCGCGCGTTTGGGTTGGCGGAAGGGTGAGGGGTGGCGGGCACCTCAGGATCGGTCGTCGTCATTTCGCTGTCCACCCGTGGTCGGATTCAGAGAGCGCAGCGCGCTACTCACTGCGCCACCACTCCCGCCGCTCGCTCGCTCGCTCGCACGCTCGCACACGCGTGCAACACGCAAGTAGAACGCGCGTAGCCGGCGGTCGAGGCTCTCGTCACGAAAGGCATCGCAGCGCCTCGTCGATACTCCGGCGCCCAATTGCGCGGCCGGATTTTTTCGTGAAAAAAAACCGAAAGCTTTTTTGCCCTTTCTCCCAGCGAAAACAGGAGGTGTTAATAAGACGTTGAAGCGCAAACTACAGAGAGACCTTTTATGTAAAGGCGTCGAGTCTGCATTAACCGCTCGTGTCAACAAACGCGCTCCGATAATAATGTGCGGCGTCGTCTTTCGAAACTGGTTGGACGCCACCGGAGACAAACTTGCGGCAAGGTTTCTCCACGGCCCAGTCTCACCACCACGGGCCACGGCCCGGTCTCACCACCACCACCGGTGTCACGCCAGAGAACGACGCTGAAGTGCGAACGGTGCGGAGGCAACGCGCGTTACCGGAGCATTCACAGCTCGGGTTGGTGTTGTAACGCGCGCACGTGCAGCCTGTGCAGCTTGGCAGGGGTGTGGATAACTGGGTAACTGGGTAACTGGGCTCTCTCTCTCTCTCTCGAGGGCCCCCCCCCCAACCCCGCGCCCGCGCGCTCCGGAGCCAATCAATCGCGCTAACGAACCTCTCCCTCGCTCAGCTCCGCAGAGGCGCGAGCCCGAGAGCGTTTATTATTATTTTTTCATTTACAACATTTCTACCCCGGTTGAGACTCTCGAGGCTTGGGGGGAGGGGGGGGCACGGAGCACTCCCCCCCCACTCCCACCCCCCCAAAAAAAATTTCCACACCGTGCCCACCGCTACCGTGCCGGATAAACCGGCTACCGGGGAATTTTTTTTATTACATTTTTTTTAATTTGCCGTGCGGCTTCTCGTAGCGGCTTGGGGGTGCGGGGTCGCCGCTCGGTTTTTGTCTCAATCTTCCCGGCAGCTGTTGCCGTATTCAGTTCTCTTTGTGTGCGTGTCTCTTGACGGCGCTCTCTTAGGGGTTCGCGTGGCGCGCGGTGGGAACACGGGAATGGATCACGGCGCGAGTCCCAATCTGTGGCGGTGTCCAGCGGGGCGCGGGGAGACGTTTTCGAGTTCGCCGTGATCGGCGCGGCCCAGCGCAGCAGCTGTGGGTCGGCGTTGGCCCCCCGGCATGCGAGGAGTGAAGTGGAGGGCAGGCCCCCCCCCCCCCCCCCTTACTAAAACTATTTTTACGTTACCAGTTAAGTGCCCCACTGTAAGATACCTAGCTCTTTCTCGTAAGCGACCTGGCTATCACGAACGATGGCTCAAACAAAGTGGCTTATCATCACGTGGATATTTGTAGCGGCCGAATGTTCTCTAAACGCGTGGTGATGTCGACTCTAAACATGGAGGGGAGTGACCGGGGGACCCGGAGAAAAATCCTCGCGACCACGCGGAGAGAGAGAGAGAGATGCGCAAACTCGAAATGTACAGCAGGCGTCAGGGTCGGGATTGAACCAACGACCTCCTGTAGACCATGCGAGGTAGTTAACATCTCACCAGCTGGCAACTGCTCCCCTCCCCCCCAGCCAATAACTGCATACTCCATAGCCACGGTATCGGGGGGGGGGGGGGCGGGTTTCATGAATTTGTGAAAGGACTCCTGCCATAGGAATGTGGAATTTACAAAACTGACTCTGGTCTGACAATGGACGTGAATAATATATATTTTTTTTACCTTGATTGATAACTCACTTCTTTACAACTTGCTCTTCGTGTTTAGTTTACCGTGCTTCCTCCGCGTCTCCGATTGGCGCGGTTGCGAAAGAAGTTCGGCGCACAGCGACGTACACGCGCCAAGTGCGGTGGTCACGATCGCTGTCGTGACGAGCGATCGACCCCCCTCTCTCTCTGCCGCATGGCGCAGGCTCCGCACGGCTGCTGGCGCCCACCGTGGGAGCGGCGCGGGGCTCCTGCGCGGACGGCGCGGAGATGGAACGCTCGGCGGGGCGAGCGACGGAGCGGGAAGCCGGCGGGAGCGGGGGTTGCGGCGGGGCCGGGGAGAGCAGCAGCACAGAGAGCGCGCACCTCGTGAGCGCCGTGCACCTCGTGAGCACCGTGCACCTCGTGAGCACCGTGCACCTCGTGAGTGCCGTGCACCTCGTGAGCACCGTGCACCTCGTGAGCACCGTGCACCTCGTGAGCACCGTGCACCTCACCGTGCACCTCGTGAGTGCCGTGCACCTCGTGAGCACCGTGCACCTCGTGAGCACCGTGCACCTCGCCGTGCACCTCGTGAGCACCGTGCACCTCGTGAGCACCGTGCACCTCGTGAGCACCGTGCACCTCGTGAGCACCGTGCACCTCGTGAGCACCGTGCACCTCGTGAGCACCGTGCACCTCGTGAGCACCGTGCACCTCGTGAGTGCCGTGCACCTCGTGAGTGCCGTGCACCTCGTGAGTGCCGTGCACCTCGTGAGCACCGTGCACCTCGTGAGCACCGTGCACCTCACCGTGCACCTCGTGAGCACCGTGCACCTCGCCGTGCACCTCGTGAGCACCGTGCACCTCACCGTGCACCTCGTGAGCACCGTGCACCTCGTGAGCACCGTGCACCTCACCGTGCACCTCGTGAGCACCGTGCACCTCGTGAGCACCGTGCACCTCGTGAGCACCGTGCACCTCGTGAGCACCGTGCACCTCACCGTGCACCTCGTGAGCACCGTGCACCTCGTGAGCACCGTGCACCTCGTGAGTGCCGTGCACCTCGTGAGCACCGTGCACCTCGTGAGTGCCGTGCACCTCGTGAGCGCCGTGCACCTCACCGCGCACCTCGTGAGCACCGTGCACCTCGTGAGCACCGTGCACCTCGTGAGCACCGTGCACCTCGTGAGCACCGTGCACCTCACCGTGCACCTCGTGAGCACCGTGCACCTCGTGAGCACCGTGCACCTCGTGAGTGCCGTGCACCTCGTGAGCACCGTGCACCTCGTGAGTGCCGTGCACCTCGTGAGCGCCGTGCACCTCACCGCGCACCTCGTGAGCACCGCGCACCTCGTGAGCACCGCGCACCTCGTGAGCACCGTGCACCTCGTGAGCACCGTGCACCTCGTGAGCACCGTGCACCTCGTGAGTGCCGTGCACCTCGTGAGCGCCGTGCACCTCACCGTGCACCTCACCGTGCACCTCGTGAGCACCGTGCACCTCGTGAGCGCCGTGCACCTCACCGCGCACCTCGTGAGCACCGTGCACCTCGTGAGAGCCGTGCACCTCGTGAGCACCGTGCACCTCGTGAGTGCCGTGCACCTCGTGAGCGCCGTGCACCTCACCGCGCACCTCGTGAGCACCGTGCACCTCGTGAGCACCGTGCACCTCGTGAGCACCGTGCACCTCGTGAGCACCGTGCACCTCACCGTGCACCTCGTGAGCACCGTGCACCTCGTGAGCACCGTGCACCTCGTGAGTGCCGTGCACCTCGTGAGCACCGTGCACCTCGTGAGTGCCGTGCACCTCGTGAGCGCCGTGCACCTCACCGCGCACCTCGTGAGCACCGCGCACCTCGTGAGCACCGCGCACCTCGTGAGCACCGTGCACCTCGTGAGCACCGTGCACCTCGTGAGCACCGTGCACCTCGTGAGCGCCGTGCACCTCACCGTGCACCTCGTGAGCACCGTGCACCTCGTGAGTGCCGTGCACCTCGTGAGCGCCGTGCACCTCACCGCGCACCTCGTGAGCACCGCGCACCTCGTGAGCACCGTGCACCTCGTGAGCACCGTGCACCTCGTGAGTGCCGTGCACCTCGTGAGCACCGTGCACCTCGTGAGCACCGTGCACCTCGTGAGCACCGTGCACCTCGTGAGCACCGTGCACCTCGTGAGCACCGTGCACCTCGCCGTGCACCTCGTGAGCACCGTGCACCTCGTGAGCACCGTGCACCTCGTGAGCACCGTGCACCTCGCCGTGCACCTCGTGAGCACCGTGCACCTCGTGAGCACCGTGCACCTCGTGAGGGCCGTGCACCTCGTGAGCACCGTGCACCTCGTGAGCGCCGTGCACCTCACCGTGCACCTCGTGAGCACCGTGCACCTCGTGAGCACCGTGCACCTCGTGAGTGCCGTGCACCTCGTGAGCACCGTGCACCTCGTGAGCACCGTGCACCTCGTGAGCACCGTGCACCTCACCGTGCACCTCGTGAGCACCGTGCACCTCACCGTGCACCTCGTGAGCGCCGTGCACCCGACTCCTCTAACCTCTCGCCTCGAACCCTGCATCCGTAAAATTGACTGCCGCCTACCCCCGGCACCACGAACCCCCGACACTAATCTTTAACCCTTGACGTGAACCCTAACCTCTGAACCCCAACCCTCAAACGCCTCAAACAACCGACCCTCAACCGTCTCGGTCTCGATCGGCATCGGCGAAGTTCGTGTGAGATGTAACGACGCGCCGCGCTCCGTAGCGACGTGACGAAGTAACGCCGCTCTCATTAACGACGTAACGAAGTAACGCCGCTCTCATTAACGACGTGACGAAGTAACGAAGTAACGCCGCTCTCATTAACGACGTGACGAAGTAACGAAGTAACGCCGCTCTCGTTAACGACGTGACGAAGTAACGCCGCTCTCATCATTAACGACGCGTCGCTCCGCCCAGGACGACGACTCGTCGGAGGAGAACCGCCACCTCCGCTCGCCGCCGGCGCGCCGCGACGCCGGAGTGGACGTGGAGGCGGCGACGTTGCCGCCGCCGCCCCCCCCCGCGTCTCTGTCGCCGCGAGAGCCCCGGTCCCCCGGCTCGGCGGGGGACCGGGGCACCCCGCCAAGCCGGGCGACTTGCTCCCCCGGCGACGCCCACGCACGCCACGAGCTCGGGCGTCTGGGCCGCGAGCGAGCCCAGACGCTCGCCAGCGTGGAGGAGCTCAAGCAGCGCATCGCCGAGATACAGAGCCAGCTGGACGAGTCGAATCGCGAGGTGGGCGCCGCTGACCCCCCCTCTCCATCCCTCCTGGCCCCATCCCTCCTCCCCCCTCCATCCCTTCCCCCCCTTATCCCTCCTCCCCCCTCCATCCCTTCCCCCCCTATCCCTCCTCCCCCTTCCCCCCCATCCCTCCATCCCTCCTCCCCCCCCTATCCCTCCTCCATCCCTTCCCCCCCATCCCTCCTCCCCCCTCCATCCCTCCCCCCATCCCTCCTCCCCCCCCCATCCCTCCCCCCCTCCATCCCTCCCCCCCATCCCTCCTCCATCCCTCCCCCTCCATCCCTCCCCCCCATCCCTCCTCCATCCCTCCCCCCCCATCCCTCCTCCCCCTTCCATCCCTTCCCCCCCTATCCCTCCTCCATCCCTTCCCCCCCTATCCCTCCTCCATCCCTTCCCCCCATATCCCTCCTCCCCCCTCCATCCCTCCTCCCTCCATCCCTGAATCAGTGCTGCTGAAATGATGCACTCCCAGAAGGCCGTGAGGCCGGTGGGTTGTGTACAAAGAGAACGCCTTCACGTGGGGGGACAGACACACGTCAAGGGGGACACGTTGGCTGCCTATCTGTGTTGATTCTTCAGCACGGGGTATTCACTTCACGTCTTCGCTGGCTGCGAACTCAAAGCAGACGCTCACCTCTCTCATTCCACACCACAGCTCCACATTTCCCAGTCTGCTGCTGCTGCTGCTTCCACCACTGCCCCTGCTCCTCAGCGAATGGACGAGCGCACGCATGCACACGCGCACACACACAAAGATCCCCCGTATAGCTTTAACAGACTGTTGGGGCAAGTGCTGTTAGCGAGCACCTATGAAGGCCGGCACGGCACACGAGGGTGTGGGTGGCTAACACCACGCCCGGCCGCCTTTGTCTCCCCGGTGTTTACAAACCACACCAGGTACTCATTCGAGGCTGAGTCAACCTCGGGGAGACCCATGACCGGTTCAGATAATCGTCGCTGGTCTTGGCCATGAGCAGCAGGAATCGCACTCGGGTTTGCCGGGTTCGTAGCGCAGCGCGCTAACCGCTACACTACCGCACGCACACACGCACACACGCACGCACGCACACACGCACGCACACACACACACACGCACACATACACACACACACACGCACACACGCACGGACCTTCCCCTCTGTCTCTCTCCGTGCGGACGGGCAGCTGGAGCTGGAGAGAGCTCTGCTGCAGGGTGAGAGGGACTCGGAGATCTCCTTGCAGGCGCAGGAGGAGCGAGCGGTGATACAGCTGCGAGACCGCGTCTCGCAGCTCGACGTGGGGGTCAAGCTGGACAAGGAGAAGGTGAGGATGGCGCGCCGGAACAAACGAGACGGTACAAACGAGACGCAACTAGCGACACGTTAGGAACGAGACGGAACAAACGAGATGGGCCGAACGAGACGGAACGACGGGCACGTTGCCAAACGAGACGCAGCAGACGAGACGGAAACTAACGAAGCGTCATCACAAACGAGACGAAACAAACGAGATGTAACTAGCGAGACGGAACGACGGGCACGTAGCCAAACGAGACGCAGCAGACGAGACGGGAACTAACGACGCGTTACAAGCGACACGGAAACCAACGAGACGGGACCTGAGAACCAATTCTCGAACCGAATGGCGCGCGCGGCTCCCAACTCGCTGGGAATCCGGAGGCGTCGGCGTTTTGCCCGCACGAGAGTCGCACGAGACGGAGCGGCGGACTGCACGGCTTGAGCGCCTACGGGGGCGCCCGCAGGCGCTCTCCGCCACCCCTGCCCGACCACTTGCGCCCGTGCGGACGTTAACAGACTGGCCGAACTAATCCTGTCGCCGGCGCGGGCCGCAGCACTTGGGCCCCCCCCCCCCGCCCCCCCCCCCCCCCCCCCCCCCCCCGGGGTGTGTGCGCGACGACGCAGGGGAGTTTGGTTCACGTGTGTGTGTGTGTGAGTGTTGTGCGTGTGTGTGTGAGTGTTGTGCGTGTGTGTGAGAGTGTTGTGCGTGTGTGTGAGAGTGTTGCGTGTGTGTGTGAGTGTTGTGCGTGTGTGTGAGTGTTGTGCGTGTGTGTGTGAGTGTTGTGCGTGTGTGTGTGAGTGTTGTGTGAGTGTTGTGCGTGCGTGTGTCCGTGTGTGTGAGAGTGTTTTGCGTGTGTGTGAGTGTTGTGCGTGCGTGTGTGTGAGAGTGTTGTGCGTGTGTGTGAGTGTTGTGCGTGTGTGTGAGAGTGTTTTGCGTGTGCGTGAGTGTTGTGCGTGTGCGTGTGTGAGAGTGTTTTGCGTTTGTGAGAGTGTTGTGCGTGTGTGAGAGTGTTGTGCGTGTGTGTCAGTGTTGTGCGTGTGTGTGAGAGTGTTTTGCGTGTGTGTGAGTGTTGTGCGTGTGTGTGCGTGTGTGTGAGAGTGTTGCGTGTGTGTGTGAGTGTTGTGCGTGTGTGTGCGTGTGTGTGAGAGTGTTGCGTGTGTGTGTGAGTGTTGTGCGTGTGTGTGAGAGTGTTTTGCGTGTGTGTGGGCCGAGCGCACCGCAGGCACAAACATAACTGACAAAGATTCCCCGTGTAGCCTTAACAGACTGTTGGGGCAAGTGCTGTTAGCGAGTAGCACCCTATGAAGGCCGGCATGGCACACAGGGGGGTGGAAGGCCAGCGCGTCACCCGGCCGCCTTTGTCTCCCGAGTCGCGACGTTTACACACCGCACCAGGTACTCATTTGAAGCTGAGTCGACCTAGGGGAGGCCCAGGGTTCTGATAGTCGTCACCGGTGTTGTTATCCGTGAGCGGGAATCGAACTCAAGGCCCCACCGGGTTCGTAGCGCAGCGCACTAACACCGCTGCTCCCCGCACGTTGAGACACACACAGACAGACCTCTGCGTTATCCAATAACAACGCGGAGCACAATGGGACCCGTGCCAATGACAGAAGCGACCGAGAGCGGTGAAATAAGAAACGCGGTGTTGATGCCAGGTCGCGGATATCGAGGCCCGCGGGCCGCTATCAAGCGCCACCATCGCTTACATTGCAGCATACACCCCCCAAATTCACAACGCCACGGTGGCTAGGAGATGTTAACTACCTCGCCTGGTATACAGGAGGTCTCGGGTTCGATACCGACCCTGACACCTGCTGTATATTTGGAGTTTGTGTGTTTCTCTGTCATCATCACGGTGGCTAGGAGATGTTAACTAACTCGCCTGGTATACAGGAGGTCTCGGGTTCGATACCGACCCTGACGCCTGCTGTATATTTGGAGTTTGTGTGTTTCTCTGTCATCATCACGGTGGCTAGGAGATGTTAACTACCTCGCTTGGTATACAGGAGGTCTCGGGTTCGATACCGACCCTGACACCTGCTGTATATTTGGAGTTTGTGTGTTTCTCTGTCATCATCACGGTGGCTAGGAGATGTTAACTACCTCGCCTGGCATACAGGAGGTCGTGGGTTCGATACCGACCCTGACGCCTGCTGCTGTATATCTGGAGTTTGTCATGTTTCATTCCGTCCCCGTTATCACGTTCAGAATCGACGTACATTCAGAGTATTCAGCTGCTATAAATTTCCACGCAAGGACAAGCCGCTTTGCTGAGCCGTCATTCGTGGCCAGGTCGATCAAAAAAGAGCTACACGGCTCAGTGGGGCCTTTCCGGAGTAAAATAAACAAATATAGCTTACGGGTTCTTAGCTTCGAATCGCTTTCATTTCGCAGCGGCCCCGCCGCGGCGCGGAGACTCGCCGCTCAGGAGAGCGATCGCGACGGTGGCGGCTGCTCCTCGCGGCGTCGCCCCCGTCACCCCCCCCGCGCTCGCTCACGGCGTGCCCCCCCCCTGCCCCCCCCCCCCCCCCCCGCCATGTGTCTACGCCGTGCGCAGGAGAGGGCAATGCTTGCGGCGGCTCGGGAGCAGCTAGGAAGCCTCCGCAGCGCACACCTAGACGCGCGCAGGCAGCTAGACACCTGCCCCGAGGCATTGCGAGAGCACTTGCAGCAGCAGCTGAGAAGGGTCAGTGCCACTTCCTGTCTCCCCCGACTCCTCGACCACCCCCCCCCCACCCCCGGGTCGCTCGCTCCACTTTTTCCCCATTGTCCGAATCCCTTCTCCCTGACCTGCCCCTCGCGCCTTCCAACTCCCCCTCCCCCATTCCCCCCATCTTTGCTGTCGTCTTCGATCGCTCAACGTGGCCGCGGCGCCATTTTTACCCGCCCGTGCGATGTCCTCATTGGCTGGGCTCTGATCACGTGACGCCCGCCCCCCGCTTCGTGATTGGCCGGACTAAAACGACTAAAGTACTAACTCCACCGTCACGTGTTGTTTTTTTGTGGTCGCTTGCACGTGGGGCTGCCCGTCCAGTCGAGCTTCAGAGTGCACCCAGTGCCGGATTATCCTACTACATATGTAGTAGCTACCACTACTACATATGTAGTTGCTACTACTACTACATACGTAGTAGCTACCACTACTACATATGTAGTTGCTACTACTACTACATATGTAGTAGCTACTACATATGCGACGGGCCCCGCACTTTCAAGGGCCCCGCGCTAAATGCTTTCAAGCTATCAATTCCGGTTCAGTGATTCTGCACTTGCTCTATTACTATAGTACTATACCGTCTTCAACTTTTATGAACGACTGGGTGTTTAAGGTTAGCGATTTGTCGTATTATCTGGCTGTGTAGCAAATAAAAAAAATACAACTACTTCGCTATGCAAGTTAAAACTGCGTGTGTTTTAATATTTACGTTTTTTTTTTATTTAGGGCCCCTTTATAACAGATGCTACAGGCCCCGAACTAGCTTAATCCGCCACTGAGTGCACCTAGCATGGCACAGGCGCCGTGGTTGACGTCACCGCCACTTCGTGATGAGCGACGGTCGTCGCGTGAGTCGAGCTACCCCCAGGGTTTTCGCATCGCGTTTTTACGCCATCAAGCGACGCCCCGGTCCAATAGACGGGTGCGAAAAGCACGTTTTGCTTGCGAACAGAATGAACGTGCTTTGGCCTTCGTAGGTTTTGTTGAGTGCAGCATCGGCATTTAAGATGCAATGAACCGAGGTTTCAGTTGAAACGAGCTATCCAACCATGGTCACGGAGCGGAATGCGGCTGTGATCGACCAGTGAGCAGAGTTATGCAGTTATTTGGGAGGTTTTTTTTAAACTGAAATCTGTACTGACGTTGGTTTCAGAATTATTATGAAGCCACCCGGTGGTGAAAATGAAAAAATGATACGAATAAAAAAAATAACATATGAAAAAATATATAAAATTGTAATATCAAAATATTTTTAAAAATGCCAAAATATCATGTAAAAAGTAATTAAGGAATAAAAAGACATTTATAAAAATTATAAAAACATTAATATCAAGATACAAAAAAAATAGTATAAAAACACAAAAAAATTCCACTGAACAAAAAAAAAACCTCTTGTATTTACCGTAACCTTGCCCGCCCCCCCCCCCCCCCCGCCCGCCCCCCCCCCCCCCCGCCCGCCACGACAGGAAGCCGAGCGTCTCGAGGTTGAGACGAAGACCTTCGAGGACCTGGAGTTCCAGCAGCTGGAGGGGGAGAGCCGCGCGGAGGAGGAGAGGGAGGCCTCGAGCCAGCGGCTCCTCGCTGACGTCAGCAACCTCCAGACGAGCATCGCCACGCGAAAGGTGACGGCCTCAAGGGGCGACTGGACCCTTGCTGGGCGATTCGTGCGATCCGCGGCCCGGAATCTACAGTTACGATTCGTTGAATTGAGCGCAAATCGGTGGGCGATTAGCGCGGTTGGCTACGTACGGTGTGAATTAAGTTTAACGTAGATCCCCGTGATCCCTTCCCCATAATGACTGCATTGCATGCATTATATTGCTTCGTGATTTCTGTGATGCCTGGCCCAGATATCTCATTATGATTCTTTGAATTAATTGCATCGCGTGCCCGCAACATAGTGCCGTAGCCTATAACCCTCCAGTATACCAGGCGAGGGAGTTAACATCTCGCACACCGTGCGCCCCCCCGCCCCCTCCCCACTCCCCAGGAGAAAGTGGCGGCACTGGATGGGGAGGGGCGGCAGCTATCCCAGCAGGCCTTGCAGGAGCAGGAGCGCCTCCACCGGGAGAAGAACCAGCTGGCCCACCGTCTCCACCGGGTAAGTTCGTCGGTGCTCAGTAAACCTAGTCAACAAAGCGAAGATGATTTTAATTTTGCCAGGTTCTAATAAGGTCCACTGAGCTCTATGCATTATATGGCTGTTTTTTTTAAGAAACGACCTGACCGTCAAAAATGATAGCCCAACGAGGTGGGCTATCATTGTGCGGGAAACGTTAAGAGCAGCCATATTCTCTCGTAAACGCGTGAACGTTCATTCTAAACGTGGGGGGCTAAAACGGGAGGACCCGGGGAAAAATATACAGGACCACGGGGAGAGAGACACCGCAAAAATTAAAATATACAATAGGCGTCAGGCTCGGGATCGAACCCAAGACCTCCTGTATACCTTGCGAGGTAGTCAACATCTTGCCACCACGGCAACTCACGTGACTTGCGGGGGCGGAAATATTTGTTTCACGTGAAGTCAGTACATTTTTGATGGAATAGATACACATCGAATTAAAAAACATTCCTGCGGAGGGAACTGGTAGGAACGTTGGGTTGCTCGGTCAATGGCTAGGGTCAACGGCGGCACCACGTGGTGTATTCCGCAAATATTCCCGACTTTGAGGGCGGGCACAAGCCGGCGTGAGTAGGTTAAACGTTGAGTTTTATAAGGGCACCACGGGGTGACCAGCCCCTCCCCACCCAGCCCCACCCCACCCCCCACCCAGCCCCACCCTCCCCACCCAGCCCCTCCCCACCCTCCCCACCCAGCCCCTCCCCACCCTCCCCTCCCCACCCAGCCCCACCATCCCAACCCAGCCCCTCCCCACCCTCCCCTCTCCACCCAGCCCCACCTCTCCCATTTTTGGATGCACGACGGACAGACAGAATAATCCCCTGTGGGCTGGTGTAACCAGGAGGTTCCTACAAGTATAATGTCTTATAACTAGAGAGCACCTCCTCACTCAAGGCCTCACCTCTGCTCCCTCGCCCATTCCTTCCTCTTCCCTCCCCACGCCCCTCCATTCCTTCCTGTCCCTCCCCTGTAGCCTGTTTGTGATCCCCTAATCGCCCCTCCATCGCTGCTGCCACTCGTTCCTCGACACCTTTGTAGCACGCCGCTGTCAACTACGACATCGTTACATTCAGTGTCACCGTTCTGTAAGTTACGTCACAGAGCACCTTAAGTGAAGGCGTTCCGTATAAATGCAAACCTGTCAATCCCTTATCAGTGCCCTACCTTATTACATACCAATTCCGACCTTATTGGTCACCCCGTGCCCTTAAAAATCTCAGCGTTCATGCTACAAAGTCCCATCACAAGGGAAAAACACAAACAAATGGACATTTTTTTTTTTGCCTTTACTGAAACGGCTGTACGCCGTATGGACCTCAAAACTCAATTTCCCCGTATAAGAATACGGGGTCAAACCGTACGGGTTGACAGCTGCGTAAATATCACCTGAGACTAGCCTGACAATCGGTGAGCCCGTGGCCTTGGATGCCTCAATCTCCCAACGTGCCCTGCCAGCGGGCGACCAAGCGCACTGTCTCACCGAGCGTCTGAATCGGAATCGTGATTGACACCGGAGGAATCCGACGAGCTGCGAAGCTCTTTTTTTCCTCCGGACGTCCAGAAATGACGCCTTTGGTGGGAAGTCGGCAGCGTACGAAGGCGGGCATTTAAAAAAAAAAACATTTCCCGCCGCTGACTCAGCGGCCGTGTGGGCAAGCGCGTGTGGGTTGAGACGCCGCCGCCGCCGCCGCGTGGTTCTGTGTCGGCAGGAGAGGGCATGGCTGTCCGAGCTGGACGAGCGCTACGCTCTGCTCACCGGGGGCAAGCGACTGCCCATCGCCCCAGCGCCGCCCACGCAGGTCGGTGCCGCTGCACAACCCCCCACCCCACCCCACCCGCGCTGCACAACTCCCACACGTGACACAACACGCGCTGCACAACTCCCGCACGTGACACAACACGCGCTGCACAACTCCCGCACGCGACACAACACGTGCTGCACAACTCCCGCACGTGACACAACACGCGCTGCACAACTCCCGCACGTGACACAACACGCGCTGCACAACTCCCACACGTGACACAACACGCGCTGCACAACTCCCGCACGCGACACAACACGCGCTGCACGCCTCCCGCACGCGACACAACACGTGCTGCACAACTCCCACACGTGACACAACACGCGCTGCACAACTCCCACACGTGACACAACACGCGCTGCACAACTCCCACACGTGCCACAACACGCGCTGCACAACTCCCACACGTGACACAACACGCGCTGCACAACTCCCACACGTGACACAACACGTGCTGCACAACTCCCACACGTGACACAACACGCGCTGCACAACTCCCGCACGTGACACAACACGTGCTGCACAACTCCCACACGTGACACAACACGCGCTGCACAACTCCCACACGTGACACAACACGCGCTGCACAACTCCCACACGTGACACAACACGCGCTGCACAACTCCCACACGTGACACAACACGCGCTGCACGACTCCCACACGTGACACAACACGCGCTGCACGACTCCCACACGTGACACAACACGTGCTGCACAACTCCCACACGTGACACAACACGCGCTGCACAACTCCCACACGTGACACAACACGCGCTGCACAACTCCCACACGTGACACAACACGCGCTGCACGACTCCCGCACGCGACACAACACGCGCTGCACGACTCCCGCACGTGACACAACACGTGCTGCACAACTCCCACACGTGACACAACACGCGCTGCACAACTCCCACACGTGACACAACACGCGCTGCACAACTCCCACACGTGACACAACACGCGCTGCACAACTCCCACACGCGACACAACACGCGCTGCACGACTCCCGCACGTGACACAACACGTGCTGCACAACTCCCACACGTGACACAACACGCGCTGCACAACTCCCACACGTGACACAACACGCGCTGCACAACTCCCACACGTGACACAACACGCGCTGCACAACTCCCACACGTGACACAACACGCGCTGCACGACTCCCGCACGTGACACAACATGCGCTGCACGACTCCCGCACGCGACACAACACGCGCTGCACGACTCCGCGCTGCACCACCGATGTGTCAAAACACGCGCTGCACAAACCCATGTGTCACAGTTCGCGCTGCACGGCCGATGTGTCACAACACGCCTTGCACGACCCGTATACCACAACCGATGCTGCACACACGAGGTTCAAACCGAAGCAGCTGCCTTTGATCAAACTTTATTCGCGAACGTTCGCGAGTTGATGGTCTCAGCCCGGGTCACTATCGACTGCACAACAAAAATTGCAATAGATTTTTCCAATTAATTTAGATAATTTACAGCTGCTTAGACATTAAAATACATTCGTTTAATATTCACGTGACACACATCACTGCCTGCGGCGGGACGCGTGGGAAGGCGCTGCGCCCTACTGGGAGCGCCAGTGAGTCACGGTGGATCTCGGACGTAGCTCTGCGGTTTCCGCTTCCGCGTGCCCGCTCTCTTTGACGCGGAGGGTCTCACTGCTCCAACTCCGCGTTTACAAACGGATTCCCTCCACCTCCGACAGCGCGATCGGAATTCGACAAAACGTAAAACGAAAAAAAGACGCACGAGTGCTCCAAACCACACCGTGTAACAACAACAACAACGCATTCACGTGCAGACGCGCGGCAGAGCGTGGCCGTAAGCGATGCCCCACGCGTGATGCTCCACGCGTGCCCGATCCCCCACGCGCGATCCCCGCGCGTGATGCTCCGGTGTGTGTGTGCATTCCCTCGCGCCAGGGCTACTGGCAGCTCTCTGACATCTACCGCTTCTACTGCGAGCCCGCGGGCACGGAGGCGTGCGAGCCGTGCGTGGTACCCACTGCCGCTGCCTCCCCCTCCCCTCCGAGTTCTCTCTCTCTCACTCCGCCTCTCAGCCAGGTACCTCGCCGCTCCTCTCTCCTCTCTCTCTGCCGCAACTCTCCCCCCCCACGTGCGCGCATTCGCGCCTCTCTCTCTCTCTCTCTTACTGTGGGCAGGCGCGCGAGCGTTCTCTAACACACAGAGCGATCCACTGCGACGCTAGCGCTCCGCGTGGATGCTTCGTGACGTGGTTTGACGGTAACCGCACGAGTGGACAAACATTTGGAAAGTGACCAAAATATTACGTTATTTTCATTCATATATGTGTACGTTATTGGTCCATCGCCAGTCCGCAGCCAGTATAGGTCCCCCCCACACACCACAGTGATACAAAAATGAATCTGCTCTTTAATTTGTCATCCGAAATTTGACCTTTTGAATGAATCGTTATGTGCCTGTCTTTGCATTAATATCTGTTTTTCATTCTCCTCCCATATTCTTCTGAATGCTGTCTCTGCCATGCGATAACGTCGCAGAGTCCCTGTGCTCAATTGACAGTTGAGCAGTACTCACCTCCATTGGCAGCCCTGAGCCAGCAGCGGACATTCCACATTCCCATGGCAAGGGCCGGTACATCTATACAACGACTGACGATTACTTTTTCGTGACCCCCGGAGAGATGATGGGATGAGTTGACCGCCACTCTCTCGCCCCCCGCTCCCCAGCCGGCATTTAAGCTCATGATAACAATGTAACGTCGATCTGTTCGGTACGATTCTAATTTTATCATCGTTTAATTTACCGGTACGCGTGAATGTTGTCATCGTGAACACAAAACAGTGCTGAGTGGTGATCGTGCGAAGTGACCGTAAACCGTCTGGGGTTGGTGTTCCTGTGTCAGCCACAGGAGTACATCACACTGGACCAAATCTATGAGCTGTACGGCTCCCCTCTCATCTCCGCGGAAACGCCCCTTGACCCCACTCCCTTCGCCATGCCAACCCCTCCCGTCACCGTGCCGACGTCCCCTCTGCCTGAACTGGAGGTGCGTCAGCCCTTGCCCAAATAATCAGTACCCCCCGCCCCCCATCGCCCCTCCTCCCCCCACACTGTCATGGCTGAAGGAGAAGTTGCTTGGATGTTTCAACAAGTAAAGAGACATTTTAACATGGAGGCTTTCGCGACCCATATCATCCATAATAGAGGTTTTTTTTGGGTTAGATCGCGTAAAAATATATAAATGTGTCGTTAAACCCGCCACCACCCGACACAGCCAACTAGTAAGGGTTGTCACGTAAACAGGACGTGGCCAATTCGTCACTAGTACAGCACACCGGTGTGTTGGAGAGCCAAGCCACAACATTTAGAATCTGAGCACGACGTTTCGCCAGTAATTACAACTAGCTTCACCAGGCGGACAGCCAGATTTGGCTCTCCAACACACCGGTGTGCTGTACTAGTGACGAATTGGCCACGTCCTGTTTACGTGACAACCCTTACTAGTTGGCTGTGTCGGGTGCTGGCGGGTTTAACGACGCAACATTTTTATATTTACACGATCTCACCAAGGCACATTTTAATGACAGCGACCTTTGTGTCGGTGAGATTTCCGTGCAGATAACGCGGCGAGAAGGAACACACCGGGCACCTGACGCCCCTGCGGAAGTGGGAAGTGACGTTTTTTTTTTTGTCCTCCAAAAATCGTTCCGCTGGGTTAGAGTACGCATCATCGCGTGATCAAAGGCAGCGCCACCCTTGCACACCTGCACATTAGAAGAGCGGCGATATTTTTTATTTATTTTTTCTTGCGGGTCTAAATGAACGAAGCTGCGATGTGGGAACAGCGGCGGGGGCCGTGGCGGCGTTCAACGGCTGGAATCGCGACGCGGGCCGTCGTTGCGTCGGCGGAGAGGGAGCGGAGCGGGGCGGAGGCCGTTCGACGATTCGCTCCGTAGTCAGCGTCGCTCGAGCCGAGGGCTGCGTTTTGGATGACGGAGAGAGAGAGAGAGAGGAGTCAAGTTCGCGCTAGCGGGCGTACGCACGAGCGTGGGGACATTTAATTCCATAATTATCCATGACAAGTTGAATTTGAATCCTTCATTATGAATCCTTCACGATCAATAATTCATTATTAATCCTTCATTATGAATCCTTCATTGTGAATCCTTAATGATGAATCCTTCATCATGCATCCTTCATGATGAATCCTTCATTATGAATCCATAATGATGAATCCTTCATAATTAATCCTTCATGATACATCCTTCATCATTAATCTTTCATCATTAATCCGTCATTATGATCCGCTAAGCAGGCACCATCGTACTGAATGCAATCGCCCAGATTCTCAAGTAAATAAAAATATATATACATCAAGTTCCAACATCGTGTGAGAAAAGGATCAACGGTGACGTTGATGCTGGTCTCTTTACTTATTGAAATCCAGAAATCTCTTTGTTATGTTTTCGTGGAGTGGTGCACAGGTCAGTGCAATGATCTCAGGCGGAGGAGGTAGAATGCCGATTGAAATCATCGCAGCCAATCTGGCAACTGCCAGAGGTGTAAAAAAAAAAAATGTAACAGTGGACTTTTAAAGATCTGTTGAGATCATTTGCAGGAGTTGATCGCTACGCAACGATGTCACGGTCCTAGTCGCAATCTTGGATATCGGCCACAGCTAAGAGTTGGGCATTTCTGTATTAGGATTGAGCTGACTGAATAATATAAGCGTGGTAATTGATCAAATTTGCGACATCCCCTCGAGATGCCTTCAAAGTTGTGCGCACTCCGCGTGCGCTGCACAATCAAACGGATGCTTTTATTCCACGAGGTGCAATGCTCTCGGCTTTTTCTTCCCTGACACTTTTGAAGCCTTCACCTGCCTCCACTTGAATTCTCACGGCTGCGTCGTGAGCTTCCGTGTCCACGTTTTCCTGACATCGTTCTTCTCCTTTTCTCTCCCCCCTCCCCCGCTCGTCGCTCCGCTGCGCCTCTCCCCCTGCCCCGTCGCTTCCGCCGCTCGCTTTCCCTTCGGGACATACCCCCAGAACGATCTGGGCACTGAGCACATGATTAGGCGGTTCCTGTCACCTGACCAAGAGGCCTCTTGCCAAGTGCCGCCCCCTCTGCCGGTCAAAATGCGCTTTACGCTGGGGGCCCAGGTAAAGCGCTTGCAAGCGCGTTGTCGGTTGCGTTGTAATTGACCCTTTCCCGTTCCGATGACGTACGCGGCGACGTACGTGCACGCCATCGGTTTTTCTTCAGATTTCCGTTCCGATGACGTACGTACGTGTATCGTAACGAAACCGGAATAAAAACGATCGTAAAATAACTTTATCGTTACCGAGGCTCCCACGAGGCCATGCGGGAGGTCTCGTGGTTCCCTGCGGTGAGTGCAATGGCTTTCAAAACAGCGGCGCTACTACTCCTCGCTGAAAAACAATAACCAGCCGAGCCGCATGCGCGTTCCGAGATTCAGCGGCGAATGGCAACCACACCCTGCGACTTGCACACGTCTCGGAACGGGAAAGGGTTAAACCTGCTACGGTCATACCCCCGACTTACGTCTTCCCCCTCTTTTTTACATCGTTTCGCAAAATACGTCGTCGTTTAACTAGTGACACCATGACCCGATTAGAGTCGCCTGGTTACCCCACACGCTCACGTCGCGGATGGCATCGTCCGTCCTTTCTCGTTATCTTTCGCCTCTCAGCTTTCGCCACCACCACCACAACCACCCACGACCGACACCCTGTAAATTGCTTCGATTGACGTCGTTTCGATATTCGTCGTCGCACCTTTCAGGAACGCATCCCCTGACGTAAACCGGGGCATCACCCTATTGACCTGCAAATTCACTCAAGATGCATCGTACTAGCGTGCGTGCGCGCTGCGCGGTGCGTGTGTCGGGGAGTGACGCTACGAACCTGGCACCCGAGTTTGATTCCCGCTCTCGGCCACCAACACCAGTGGCGATTATCTGAACCGGTTCTGGGCCTCTCCTAGTTCGACTCAGCCTTGAATGAGTACCTGATGTGGTGTGTAAACATCAGCACTGGGGAGACAAAGGTGGTCGAGCTGGCCACCCACCCCCTCGCCTATCGTCTCGGTCTTCATAGGTGCTCGCAAACAGCACTTGCCCCAACAGTCTCATAATGGCTATATGGAGAAACTTTGTCTCTGGTATTGTACATGCATGAGTGTGTGTGTGTGTCCGCGCATGCAGGTTCACATATATACATACACGTGTGTGCATGCCTAAGTGTGCGTCTGTGCATGTATGTACATGTGCATATGTGCATGTACATGTATTTGCATGTGTACACGCCACTGCCTCGTGTGCCATGCCGACCTTAATAGGTGCTCGCCTACAGCACTTGCCCAAAAGGTCTGTATGGTTATGCGGGTGATCCTTGCCTTTGTATACGCGTGTATATGTGTGCATATACATGCGTGTGCGTGTATACACATATTCGTGTGCCCATGCATGTACTTCCACGTACGTGTATCTACATGTGTGTATACATGCGTGCGTATTTGTGTGTGTGTGCCAGAATTTCATGATCTTGAAGCTGCAGGGAGCGGTGGCGGATTGGTTATCGCACTACACTTGGAACCCAGCTACCCTAGTTCGATTCCCGTTCAGCTTTAAATGAGTACCTGGTGTGGTGCGTAAACATCGCCACTGGGGAGACAAAGGCGGCCGGGCGTGGTGCTGGCCACATAACCCTAACCTACGCCGAGTTGGCCTTAATAGGTGCTCACTAACAGCACTTGCCACCAACAGCCGGTTAAGGCTACGGATTACAAAAACCTCAACACATTCACCAACAACACCGTGGCCTAAAGAGGAAACATTTCTATAATAGGCAACGTTTCAGGCAATGACCCTTGGTCATGATGTGCTGCGAAGAAGAGCCATTGCCCAAACTGTCACCTATGGTACAGGGTGGCCCACATGTCAGGAGACACAGGGTTGTTTTGTTTATTTCAACAAATCAGAGGGTTATTTAGCTTATTTTCACAGATGTTCAAACTGGCTTCTACTGACACTAATCACACATATTACGCTTCTGTTGTCTCAATTCATTCAGTGGCTCTTCGTGGTGGTCGAGTTTGTAAACAGATAATAATGATAACAGATACAAATTAACTTACTAATGATATAAACTTATACAAATATTAACGTATTAAAATTATAATAATGATAAGAAAAACAACAAGATATTCATAATGATAACAGATACAAATGTTAACTTAAGGACTAAACAATTAAAATAAAACAAATTACGCAAGTGTTAAAGTAACCCTATGTGTCCTGACTGTTGGGCCAAGGCTGTATATATTTCAGTCATTGCAAGACCTGCCACAATTAAAATAAAACAAATTACGCAAGTGTTAAAGTAACCCTGTGTGTCCTGACTGTTGGGCCAAGGCTGTATATATTTCAGTCATTGCAAGGCCTGCCACAATTAAAATAAAACAAATTACGCAAGTGTTAGAGTAACCCTGTGTGTCCTGACTGTTGGGCCAAGGCTGTATATATTTCAGTCATTGCAAGGCCTGCCACCATTAAAATAAAACAAATTACGCAAGTGTTAGAGTAACCCTATGTGTCCTGACTGTTGGGCCAAGGCTGTATATATTTCAGTCATTGCAAGGCCTGCCACAGGCCACTGGAGAACCCTGACGTGTGGCACCCCGACAAAAATACACAAATGTGAAAACATCCCCCATCATCATTGTGCTGCTGTCACGATGATGATGGCGGTGATGATGATGTTAGGGAGTGTGTTATTGGCAAAAATGGTAGCTCCCCTCCCATCCGCTCTGAAACTGGGTGAAGAACACTGCGGAATATCATTCTCTCTCTCTCTGAAGGCCACACACAGGCGTTGTTATTGACGAGCGCGCCGAGTTCACCGTCGCTGGCCGTGCCTGTACACCACTGCCAACGCGGTTAGCAGCGGCAGCATCGCCAGCAAACTCGTTGAGGCTGAAGGGAACCTACAGGCAAAAAGGCCTACAGAGCCACGCCAGTGTCGGGGTGGAAAAATGTTAACTACCCCGCCTGGTGTACACGAGGTCGTGGGTTCGACCCCGACCCTGAAGCCTGCTGCTGTATATTTGGAGTTTGCGGTGTCTCTCTCACCGTGGCCGCGTGGATTTTTCTCGGGCTCCTCCGATTTTCCCCTCCACGTTTACAATGAACGTGCGTTTCTCAGTATTTGGCTTGCTGTACATTTCCACGTGATGAGCCACTTCGTCGAGCCATCATTTGTGACAGCCAGGTCGCTTCTGATAAAAGAGCTGTATAGCTCAGTGGGGCCCTTACCTGCTAAAATACAAAGTTTAGTTTCACTTCATCTTGTTCTCTACCTCGCACGCGCGAGCAGGGCGGCCGGACGAGCGGCGAAAAGCGCCGCCTGCAGAGGGAGACGTCCACGCAGAGTGACATCATCACCACGTCGTCGTCGTCGTCACGGCAACCCGCCCGCGGCGCTCCCGAGCATCACGCGTCGCCGTCCGGCGCAGCGCACGGGAAGAGGGTGAGCCGCTTCGAGCGCCCCGAGCGTGTGCCGCGTGGCCCCGCTTGCCTGCTGCCTTTCCGCCGTGACGGGCGACGCGGCCCTCGCGACGCCGGGCCCCGCCGAGTGGCGGAGGACGCCGCGGTTTGGCGCGCTGCCCTACGAACCCGGCGGCCGCAGTTTAGAATCGTGCTCGCGGCCACCAGGCGCCGACTGTGACTGGCGCGGCACGCAAAGTGGGTGGGTGGGTGAGTGGCCAGCACCACGCCTGCGTTGACCTAGGGGAGGCCCAGGACCGGCTCAGATAACCGTCACCGGTGTCGGTAGCCGGGTTCGCAGCGCAGTGCGGCGCTAAACCGTCGCGCTAAACCGTCGCACCGCCGCTCCCCACACACTTGACCCACCCGCTCCGTGGTGTCCGGCGCGTGGCTCCCCCATCCGTCACCAGGTGGGCGGCGTGGCTCTGGGGAGCAGCACGCTGCCCCGCAACCTGCGCAGCTCCCACGAGGAGGGCATCGCCATGGCCTCCAAGCGGCCGCCCCCGGGCCCCCCCCCACGAGGTTCGTCTCCCGTCTCACACGCCAACTGCACCCCCTGCCCACCTGCCCCCACCCTTACCCCCCCCCCCCCCGTGTAGTGGTGTAGTGACTACATTAACAGCTCGGGGGGGGTGGTGGTGCGGCATTCGGTAGAGGTGGGGGAGCCCCCCCCCCCCCCCCAATTTTTGATTCGCGCCGTCGCCAAATGTTACTGCTCAAATCGAATTAAAATAAAACGTGGAACGTGAATGGAAGGATTTGCATGAACATATATTTAAACGACATTTCAAGTTTGTTGTTCTTCGTACACTTGCGCACATGAACTACCGCCACCTTCTACCAGCCCTACAAAGACAAATATTCCCCCGTGTAGCCTTAACAGACTTTCGGGGCAAGTGCTGTTAGCGAGCAGCACCTATGACGGCCGGCACGGCACACGAGGGGATGGGTGGCCAGCATCACCCCCGGCCGCCTTTGTCTCCCCAGTGGCAATGTTTTACACACTGCACCAGGTACTCATTTGAGACTGAGTCGACCTAGGGGAGGCCCATGGCCGGTTCAGATTATCGTCACTGGTGTCGACCGTGAGCAGGAATCGAACCCAGGTCACCTGGTTCCTAGCGCGTACGTACTAAATGGATGGCCCCTAACCGATATGCGACCACTCCCAAGCCCGACACACAAACGCTCCTGCCACTTTCTCCTTGAGTCTCAGGCCCACACTGTGATACTCTCTATCTGGTCGACTCTTCAACATCTGTGCCGAGTTCATTCTGTGGGGCAATTGTTTGGAGGATAATGCAAAACACACATAAATTAGACTGCGAAAGCAAATCTGTTATTGCTTAGCTACGCAGAATGGAGGTGGTATTACTCACAGCAAGAAATCATCGCCCCCCCCCCTACTGCCAAGACTAATGCCTGTGTGCAGGCCAGGGACAGCTGCCACTGGGCAGGGGGGGGTGGGTACCCTGGCAAATGTGTTGAGGTGAAATGAGGTGTAAAGCGCTCTTGAGATGCCCAGGTGGATTGGAGAGCAGCTCTATCAGAAACGAATAATAATTATCATACTACACTTGAAAAAATAGTTTTGCTGGCTCTATTTCATGGCAGCCTGGCTGGATTCCTTGCTGGCCGGCACGAAGGTGACTTCACTCGCATCCCACGGCGTTGAGCCTCCACGCGGGATGCGTGTCCCACACAAATGGGATGGAGTAGAGAGAGAGGAGGGAGGTGAGGGAGGGAGGGAGGAGGACAGAGGGAAGGAGGAAGTAACGGAGAGGAGAGGGACGGAGGGAGAGAGTGAAAGGGCCTGAAAGGGAAAGGCAAGGAGAGAGAGCAAAACGAAAAGAGGAGAGCGAGGGAACGTGACAAGCAGTGGGAGAGAGGATTGGGGAGATGCAAGAGAGATTGAGATGGTGAAGGGAGAGCGAGGGTGAGAGGTGAGAAAGATAAATGGGGAGAGAGGTAGGGGGAGGGAAGTGGGTGCGATAGAGCGGAGGGAGGAGAGGGGACGGAGGAATGGAGAAACACAGACAAAGCGAGATATTGAGATACGTTGTGATACATAGCACAGAGAGAAGGAAAGAGAAAGGTGGAGAGAGACAGGGCTCTGTAGAAGTTTTGCTGGCTGGCTGGCTGGCTGGGAGGGTCAGACGGATGGTCACGTCCAAAGGACGCGCGGGTTGCTTGTTATTGCTAAGAAACGGATCTTTAAAATTAATCTCGGTGATGAACGCCACCCCTAACTCGTTCACCTTATCTTGTCTTTCCCCTTCGTCCTGACACTTCCTCTTGAAGGTAAACACAGGAAAGGTGGGTAGCCGTGCACCTGTGTCCCGCAACGCACGCTCACCCGGTTCAACGAGACAAACAAAGTTTGAGAACACTTTTGACGCGGTGTTGAAAGTCCAATACAAGGCGTCCATAAAGCATATCATCCATTATTAAAGAATTATAGTAGCGCTTAAATTCAAATGGTGCAGTTGAAATGTTGATAGCATATTCCTTATGCAGTGTGTTCTCCTATAACGCAGTAGTTGTGTTTCTGAAGAACATCGCGTTATGGAAAAATCGCGTTATACTAAATAATAATATAGGGGTAAAGCACAGTCCGCGATAACACGTGAGATGCGTACGCAGGACGAACAAAGACTGAGATGTGTGGGTAGCATCTAGAAGCATCCAGCAGCATCCCGTCTTGAGTGATGCTACGCCGAGGCAGCCGTACAACTGCTCGTTCCTACTCGCGCGATGTATTTTCGTGCACTCGACCACATTATATGCAATTTGCATCCGCGTTTTAAAAAATGCATTCCCCTAATTTATCGCGTTTATATTCGATTCGCGTTACGAAAACAACACTCAGCGTTACAGGAGAACAGGCTTTACTCATTTGCTACTCGGAGTCAGATGATTACCTCCCTTACGAGATAAATCGAAGCGCCTGACGAAGTACGTGAAGTCCCGCAAGCAGTGGGGAGCGGTGGCGTAGCAGTTGGCACGCTGCGTTACGAAACCCGGTGGCCCGGGTTCGACTTCCACTCTTTCCGTGATATTTACCCAAAAGCTTTGCATCGGATTCTCCTCCCAGCGGCATCCGATTGCTCGAGTTGCCCACGGTGAAACCTAATTCGCCGTCTTCCCTGGCTTCTCGCGGTACCGATGTTTCCCGGTCAAAGCCACATTCATACCGAGTCACTTTGTTTACACATTACATGTCCAAGAAATCTAACTTGTCTACTGTCTATTCGTTTAATAATGGATGACACCTTTATGGACCCTCACCCCACACACACACCCCACCACCTCCGTGGAACATTGAGATAGTTTGCAATATCATTGAGATTGTTTTTTTGTGCGCGTGTATTTTGCCTCGATTTGAAATTCGTTAAACGTTGGAGGTTTTTGTCGGCTTGTTTCCGTTTGACACACGCGCTAAAGACACCACGTGCCACTCTATTCTGTCTGCGTGCGCCAGGCACCAGGAAGGGCTTGCGTAAGAAAGGTAGGCCGAGTGGAGGGTGGGGAGGAAACCTCCCGGCACGTTTGTTATTTGATCTGAGGGGGGATGGGGAATCCAAAACACACGAGCGGGGTTTTTTGTCAGGGCTTTTTTTTACTTCACAAAAAAAGCCCGGGCCCAGCATGAGGAGTGAAGCCTGCTGAGCATGTGAATCATACAACTGGGTGGGTTCACACTGGAGTGTAATTTTACCTCAAGTGAACGGGTTACATTATTCTATTATGTCACGGTTGGTTTCTCGCATCGTACGCAGAGTCGCGCGCCTTGCATTAACGCGAAGCGCACCCACACCGCTGTCAGTGGTCATGCGCGGTGTGGCGATGCCCGCTGGGGCAGCGGTGGGGCAGCGGACCTGGCAGAGACCCGAGTTCTATCCCCGCTCACGGCCACCGACAACTTAGTGACGATTATCTTCGGCCTCCCCTAGGGTGACTCAGCCTCAAATGAGTACCTGGTGTGGTGTGTAAACATCGCCACTGGGGGGACAAAGGTTGGCCGGGCGTTGTGCTGGCCACCCAACCTTTCGTGTGCCGTGCCGGCCTTCATAGGGTGCTACTCGCTAACAGCACTTTCCCCAACAGTCTGTTAAGGCTACACGGGGAATCTTTGTCTTTGATGACTGCTGAAGAGGTCTCCGCTCCCAATCCCCTTCGTGCCACCCTAACTCCGATTTGGCTGCCCGGTTCACTGGACGTTTTACGTAACGTTCCAAAGTTCAACCTCGGTGAACGTAGCGGCCCGTTAGCTTCACACGCCCCGCGTGACGTTCACTTACTGTGGGGGCTCATCAAGTGGCCGTCGCATTAAGCCACGGGGTGTTCAAAGTGGTCCAGCATGAACCCAACCCGAACGCTTCAAGCCGCTGCCGGCTATCACACCAACACACCGGCGGTGCGAGACCGCGGGTCGCGCCGGGGCAGCAACAACGCAGAAAGCCTAGCGTAGGCCACATTAATCAAGGCCTTACGTTACCATATCTGTCAACCCCTTATCAGTGCCTACCTTATTACAGACCAATTCAGACCTTATTGGTCACCCCGTGCCCTTATAAATCTCAATGTTCATCCTACAAAGTCCCATCACACTACTATAGTATACTACTATACTATACTACACTACTATACTACTACACTATTATACTACTACACTACCATATCTGTCAACCCCTTATCAGTGCCTACCTTATTACAGACCAATTCAGACCTTATTGGCGACTCCGTGCCCTTATAAATCTCAACGTTCATCCTATAAAGTCCTATCACAAGGGAAATACGCAAACAGATGAAAAAAATGTGCCCATATTGAAACGGTTGTACGTCGTACGGACCTGAAAACTCAATTTCCCTGTACAAGAATACGGGGTAAACCCTTATGGGTTGACAGCTATGCGTTATCCACATCCAGCAACATCATCTCTAATGCCTACACATCTGGGTTAGCTCCGTGGAGGTCGGGGGTGGGGGGGGGGGCAGCACTTTCCCTGCCACGGTGACAGTTACTTGTTGCGTGACAGTCAAACTATATGTTCTAAGAGATGGAATGTCACCAAGTGATATTCTAAACCATAATCTAGTACGGCGAGTTTTTTTTTTTTCAAAGCAGTTGGTGACTGGGTTGAGACCGTCAATGCAGTTAAGAACCCATACTTAATGGAAGCCAGGATCTAGGTGGAATAAAATGTAATTGTTGGTTTGACTGCTACGCGATAAGCCTCCCTCACTATAGCAGGGCACTTGCAAAAGTGCATTACTGCTGAATGCAGGTGTGAGCTCATTAGAAGGGATCTCAGCACTAGTTATGTGATGTCTGCTTCCAAGGGTCCTTGTCTAACACAGAGTGATATACTGATATCTGCGAGAATTCCAAACAGACACTTTATCTGATTACATTACACCGATAGTGCAATTGAGGGGAAGAAAAGAGCCAAAAGTATTTAAAATGTCCCCTCATGCTCACGCCTCGTGCTTCCACAGGTCAAACCAGGCGAGGAATGGATGTGGGAGAGATCGGGCCTGAGCCACCATGGCACAGGGACGGTCACCGTGGCAACACGGCCGAGCGGTCATGTGACTCCATCAGCCTGGGCAGCTCGGACAGCCTGGACACCAACGCTTCGCCCGACGACATCTCCAGGTACTCGTGCAAGGCCAGAGTCAACTAAACTAATTTTTATGTTTACCAGGTAAGGCCCACTGAGTTATATAGCTCGTTTTCCGAAGTGACCTGGTCACAAACTAAACTTTTTTTTAAAAAAAATTCTACCAGGAAAGGCCCACTGAGCCATATAGCTCGTTTTCAGAAGTGACCTGGTCACAAACTAAACTTTTTTTAAAATTCTACCAGGTAAGACCCACTGAGTTATATAGCTCGTTTACAGAAGTGGCCTGGTCACAAACTAAACTTGTTTTTTAGCAGGGAAGGCTCACTGAGCTATATAACTCATTTTCATAAGCGACCTGGCTATCACGAATGATAGCTCGATGAAGTGGCATATCACGTGGACATTTATAGCAGCCAAAATACTCTAAGCGCGTGATGTCGATTCTAAATGTGGAGGGAAAAACCGGAGGACCTGGGGGAAAATCCACACGACCACGGGGAAAGAGACTTGCAAACTTCAAATATACAGCAGGCATCAGGGTCGGGATCGAACCCCCACGACCTCCTTCATACGAGGCGAGGCAGTCAACGTGGCGCCCTCGAGGAGGAAGTACAGCAAGTAGGTTTATTTATGAATAACGGTGATTGAGGTATGAGAGTGGTTTAGTGGTCAGAGACACAAAGCCAGCACTGATGAGATCCTGGGTTTGAATCTGGGTTTTAGCCACCCGTGAATAAAACACCTGGCTCTCAAATGTGTTCGCATGATGGTCTTCTGACTTATTGCCCTCTGCAATATTGAAAAGTACAGTTTGATTGACAAACCTTAAGCACCCTTGCCAAGGCGGAGTAAGATTGTGCCGTAATTAACGACAAGGAGTTTATTAAAATTCTCAAATTTGAAATGTCTCCTCATTAAAAATGATGCCAGTAGCACAATCAGATAAAAAACATATTGCGAGGCCTTTCTGAACAAACAATTTAAGGGCTTAACCTTTTACCGAATGTAGCAAAGAGTCTTGAGGCTCAGTTGTAGCCCTATACAGCCTCAGACTTGTTTGTACCACCAGCGGTTAGTTATCGTCACGTAACGTAACGCCTGTCGTTTATTCTCTTGTCGTCTCCGCGTCTCCCCTGCCTGCCTGTCGCTAAAGTGCCAGTGGGCCGGACAGTGCGCGGTTTGAGGAAATGGAGAGGCTTCTCCGAGAAGCCCAAGCCGAAAAGTCCCACCTCCTGCAGACAAAGGTTTGTAATTCACAGCCACTGCTAGACAGAGGCCTCCCCACACCTTCTCGCTCACATACCTGTCAACCCCTTATCAGTGCCCTACCTTGTTACAGACTAATTCAGACCTTATTGGTCTCCCCGTGCCCCTTATGAATCTCAACGTTCATCCTACAAAGTCTCACCACAAGGGAGAAACACAAACAAATAGACATGCAAAATGTGCCCGTATTGAAACGGCTGTACGCCGTCTGGACCTGAAAACTAAATTTCCCTGCACAAGAATACGGGTAAACCGTATGGGTTGACAGATATGCGCTCATGGGGGTGGTTTGACCATACTTCACCACGCTGGTTCAGTACGACTCGCTCGCAGCACTTGCCCCTGTTAAGCCTGCACGGGGGAGCTTCATGTTTTGTGCGTGCGAGCAGGACCGCGAGATGGAGATGGAGCGCCAGGCGCTGGAGGAGGAGCGGAGGCTGCGGGAGGCGCTGGAGGAGCGGCTCGCGGAGGAGACGCACCGGCGCCAGCTGCTCATCGAGAAGGAAGTGCGGCTGCGCGAGCGCCACAAGGCACAGGTGCTGCTCCGCGCTCCACTCCCCGCTCCTTGCTCCGCTGCACGCTCCACTCCACTCCCCGCTCCTCGCTCCGCTCCGCGCTCCACTCCCCGCTCCTCGCTCCGCTTCACGCTCCACGCTCCACGCTCCACGCTCCGCTCCACTCCCCGCTCCTCGCTCCGCTCCGCGCTCCAAGCTCCGCTCCACTCCCCGCTGCTCGTTCCGCTCCGCGCTCCACTCCCCGCTCTTCGCTCCGCTCCACTCCCCGCTCCACTCCTCTCTTCTCCGCGCTCTGCTCCATTCCATACTGCAATGCCTTGCTGCATCACTGCCCTCTGCTGGCAACGTAGCCCCCGCAGTAGCCTCCAACTCTGGTGTGTGAAGGCGGTCGCTCATCCAGGCACTGCCCAGGCTCAACCCCCCGTTTGGCTTCTGACGACATTAGGCGCATTCCTGGTGATTGATCCACCCCTACTGGATGTCTGTGACAGAGAGCTCTATAGACTCATCGCATTTCTCCACCTTAAATAAATATTCTGATTCTGATTTGGTCATAGGCCCGTCCCGTCTGTCAATGTTTTTGTCAATTTGCGTGTCCTTTTTTTTATTTTGTGCACGAGTCCGCTTGGCCACGTGACTGTTTGTTGGTACGTCTGGCTGTCCAATCGTCTGTCCGTCCGCCTCTCCCTCCGTACCGTCTGCTCCGTTTGCCTGCGAATCTGCCCACCCACCAACCCATCCACCCACCAATCGATCCATCCGTGAATCTGCCATTCTCCCCCTCCCCTCTCCAACACCCACCCCCACGTCCCACTCCACCCCCTCCTCCGCCACCCCCGGTCCAACCAGGCTCGACCGCTCACGCGCTACCTCCCGAACCGCAAGGAGGACTTTGACCTGCGCGCGCACGTGGAGGGCGCGGGCCACAGCGTGGAGACGTGCTACCACGTGACGGTGACGGGGAAGACCTGCCGCGGCTTCCTCACCAAGATGGGCGGCAAGATCCGCACGTGGCGCAAGCGCTGGTTCCTCTTCGACCGCAACAAGCGCACGTTCTCGTACTACGCCGGTGCGTCGACCGCCACCCGCCCCCGCCTCCCACCCCTCCGTGTCGCTCTCTTTGCCGCGCGGTTTCAACACCGGCCGCCTCCTAAAGTAAAGATGGTCGTTTTTTGTTTCGTTTCAAAATCGCGCTTTGGGATGCGCTCCTGCGGCCGTCTGGAACCGATTGTAAAAAAAATGTCGTGGTTGGTAAACAGATTGAGTGTGGGATCCAATTATGATGGCGGAATGATCCAGGGTGGATCGGCACGCGGTTAATCGTGACGAGCGTTGGCACAGCGGTTCACACCCACGCCACGTGATGAACCCCCGCCCCAAACTGAGTTCCCGACCACATTTGCTAACAACAAAGACGGTCGCCGCATCGTGCGCTTTCCCGACGCACTTATGCGGCCATCTGGAACGCTCTTCCTCACGATATTCGGAAGCCACGATGGAGCTTTGCACTTTGAAGCCATCTAGATTGAAAACTGATTTCTTTAGAACTGATTTTTGTGCTTAGTTTGTTGTCCTTCCCCCGCACCTCCGATTAGGTCAGCGGCCGGAGACGCTAAGCCCACACTGCTGAGTTAAAACTGGGTTCGAATGCAAGTTGTGTCCGCTCGTGGTTCAACTAAAGTAAAACTATTTTCTATTCTACCGGGCAAGGGCCCACTGAGCTACGTTGCTCTTTTTCTGAAGTGACCTGGCTGCCACAAATGATAGCTCAACAAAGTGGCTCATCATCATCATCATCATCGTGTGATGTTGATTCTAAATGTGGAGGGGAAAACCGGAGGACCCGGATAAAAATCCACGTGACCACGGGAAGAGAGACACGCAAACTCCAAATATACAGCAGCAGGCGTCAGGGTTGGGATCAAACCCACGACGTTCTGTATACCAGGAGAGGTAGTTAACATCTCCAAGCCACCGTGATGATGATGAAAGAGATACACACAAACTCCAAATATACAGCAGGCATTATGAGACCTCCTTTGCCAGGCGTCATGGTTGGGATCGAATCCATGGCCTCCTGTGCACCAGGCGAGGTAGTTAACATCTCCTAGCCACTGTGGCGCTCCAAACCAGGTTCCTGTGCACGTAAGAATGTAAGCAGGGCTGGATGAAGGCCTCCCCACAGCAGACGGATCGCAGTGGTATTTTTTTTACAATACCTCTCCACGCTGAAACGGGAGCATAGAAGTACACGACAACGGCGGATTCTACTGCGCTGCCCGCGACGTAGCGCCGCAGCCTCTAACACTTTTTCTGCACCGTGGTGCATTGCCTACATGTATATTTATCGAGGGTAAGTCAATGTGCAACATGTCTTTCCGACGGGACAGACAAACACGAGACGAAGCTGAAGGGGCTCATTTACTTCCAAGCCATCGAGGAAGTTTACTACGACCACCTCAAGAGCGCCCACAAGGTGAGGGCGACTGCCGTGCGCTTCCACGCGGCGCGAAAGTAACCCCCGTCGCCGCCGTCGTCGGCCATGGTCTATCCGCTGCTGGGTGACGACGGTCCACCACCCGAGCCGTCGCCGTCACTGAGCTACGCGTCGCGACGACGCAGAGCCGGCGGCTGCTCGGACAGAGGGGGCCTTCATCCAGCAGTGGCCTGATCACGGTAGACGTCCGTTTAAACGAGCTGCGTTGCGCGCGTGCACGTTCGCATGTGGGGGAGCGGCGGCGTAGCGGTTAGCGCTGCGCTGCGCCACGAACCCGGCGGCCCGGGTTCGATTCCCGCTCACGGCCAACACCGGTGACGAATATCTGAACCGGTCGTGGGCCTCCCCTAGGTCGACGCAGCCTCAAAAGAGTACCTGGTGCGGTGTGTAAACATCGCCACTGGGAAGACAAATGCGGCCGGGCGTGGTGTTGGCCACCCACCCCCCCGTGTGCCGTGCCGCCCTTCATTAGGCGCTGCTCGCTTTCAGCACTTGCCCCGACAGTCTTCTGAGGCCACAGGGGGAATCTTTGTCTTTGTCTCGTCGGATCCGCGCGTGCCCAGAGCCCCAGCCCATCGCTGACATTCTGCCTCAAGACGAACGAGCGGGTCTTCTACCTGGTGGCGCCCTCGCCGGAGGCCATGCGCATCTGGATGGACGTCCTGGTGACGGGCGCCGAGGGGTACACGGGGTTCTGATGCGCGGGACCTCGAGGCCGCTCGCGGCCACGGGGCGGGGGGGGTGGCGACGAGCGGCCGTCGGGATGACGACACCGCGGACGCTCGCCCGGTGTCGCGTCACGGACGCTGGCGACGCCGCGGGTGCGCGCTCCCTCGTGGCGTCACGGCCGCTCGGAAAATCGTGGACGGGCCGCGACGCCGCGACAGCTCGCTCGCCGACGACCGCGTCGCCGAGGTTGCCGATCGCGACGTGGCGAGCGTGCGCCCTCCTTGGCCCGGCGCCGTCGGGATCTCCCGCCCGCGACACCGCAGACACTCGGTGCTGTCGGCTCCCCGTTGCCCATGCAAGTACCAAGCTCCAAGCCTTGCCATTGCTCCTCCGCCTACGACGGTCGATGTTCGGTCGGCATCCGTCGTGATTTCTCACTCAGCTGAGTGTGCCGCGTGAAGGCTGCCATCCTCCACTCCTGCCAATCACTGACTGACTGCCTCCGCCTATATATATATGAAATAAGTAATTATGCTCAGTTTCTAATACGGCGTCTGGAGAGACCGTTGCACATAGCTGCTTTATACATCCGAATGGTATTGTATCGCGTTAATCGGTGCGTAGCGAGTACGCACACCTGTTCCCCCTGCCGTCCATGCTGTCGACTCCCTGCGCCGGTCAAAGCCCATGGCCTGGTTTATTTTTCCTCTGCACGCGACTGCCTGATTGGCCCGCGTCTCTCTCTAATAACAAAATACGGCCCAACCGCTTCCGCTCGGCGTCTCCGGACGCGGCCGCGTTGGGACGCCGTCCGTGAAGCCGCGTTGCGTTCAATTTGCTGACCGCAGCGCCAGCGACGGACTTCGAGAAGCCATTCCTGACGAGGGCTCTTGCGCGCGGCAGGCGGCTCGACGGGGCGCCACCACCCGCCTTGCCTTTCGCAAACAAAACACGAGCGGACCTTGTTGCGCCCGTACGGCGCACGTGCACGAGCCCACGCGTCACATGTGCCGCGCGCGCGTTGTGTTGCACGTGCACGTGGAGTTGCAACGGGCCCCCGAATGACACGCGGAACGTCGGCAGCCAGAACGCGCAAACTGGTGCTCGCAGATTTGCACACGTGTGCCTCCTGCCCTGCCTGCCTGCCTGCATTGCTGTGGCTGCGGTTGGGGTTGGTGGTGCCGGGGGGGAGGGGAGGGAGGGAGGGCGGTCAGGACCTAAGGACATTCTCTGCACTGGACCTCCCCCCCGCCCCCTGCCCACATGCCCCCCGCACGAACTTAATGCTGCCTGGAGTCTTCCCCGTGGAAATAGCCGTTGGTGCTTTATTAAGGGAATACAAGGCCAAAATATCATTCGGAAATTCTCTGACAGGTTTTTTTCTTCCCCCTCCTTTGAAATGGCTCATCTGTGTGTATGTGTGTGTGGTGCGTGTGTGTGCTAGGTTTGTGAAGGGTTGACTCCTTCGCGATTCGATTCGTCTACTGGTGTCCTCTCTTTCGATCGCGGTTAAAGGTAGCGTTCACGAGTGGCAGCGAGGGGACCGCGTGAACCCGGCGGGTGGGCGTCTGGCGTGCGCCTTGAGCCTGAGAATCGTCGTCAATCGACGATTCGGGTCGCGCTGTCGGCGCAACTTCTGCCACGTCCTTCTTGAGACGCGGCGGCATTTCACCATCAGTCGCCAATCATCGGCCACGGTCGATCCACTGCTGGATGGATCGGGGCCTCCCCCCCCTGCCCGTCGCCATCTCGCGTTGCTGCGACGTGAGCGCCTTTAGGTTTGGATGCCCACGTCCAAGATTGTGTCGTGTTCGCCGTGCTCCCAGCATGCACAGCACACGCACCGCGCACGAACAGAGCGGGTGGCTGAAAGATTTTGAGAGCGAGATGCTCGATAAATGTTGCATCAACCTTGCCATTGCTCACGTTACAGTGGTAGAACAAGTTACGTTTATTGCTTTGTATGTCTCTGTCGAGACACGGATGTTGCCGGTACATTTAACAACAACTGGTTCGCACAACATAGTTCGCGCTCGCTCTTACATGTATATGGTACGATGTATGCATCTTAATGATGCGTATTCATCACCTAAGCACACAGCATATATTCGTTTTTAACACTTAAGCTTCTATTTCTTTTGTGGGCCCAATTATCTTAATGTACCTTGCGGTGGCCGGACAGGTGAGTGGTCAGCACTCTAGGTACTGTATCCTGATCCCCACCCCAACCCACGGACGACGATTCGACGATTCAAGGTCACGATTCGATTTGAGAATCGCACCTTTAAACGCTGCGGTGAATGTGAGCGGCCGGTAGTGGCTGCGAGGGGTGGGGGCGAGGGAGAGAGGGGCGGTCGTGGGAATCCATTTTTCACGAAGCGCACGTGATTCCGTGCGCGGTCCGCAAGCTTGTGGAATTTTAAATTAACCCTTTCCCGTTCCGAGAAGGTCTGCAAGTTGCAGGGTTGTGGGTCACGTTCACTGCCCAATTTCGGAACGCGTGAGCGGCTCGACGTTGATTTTATTAAGAGAGGCGCAGCGCCGTTGTTTTTAAAGACAGTGTGCTCACCGCGGAGAACCGTAGCGACACGACCGCACTCTACGATAGTGAAGTTCATTATACGGTACCCAGAGCCATTGGAACGGAATCAGAAGAAAAACTGACGACGTACGAGTACGTACTCTGTGGTTCTATTGGGTAAAGTCACGTAGGTGAAAATAAAATAACAAAAAATCACGACGTTTCGGCCACAACACAAGCGGCCTTCATCAGGTGAAGGGACGAGACTGTCTGGAGGGCAGCGCTGGAGTGGAGTACGTGCGTGCTCGTACGTCGTCGGGATAGGAAAGGGTTAAATCGATGCGCCGTCGTACCCCCGAGTCGGCACGCTCGGCACTCTCGCCCGGTGGTTCTCAGATTGTGGTCCCCGGTGCCACCACGAGGTGGCCCGCGACGCTCCTCCAGGTGCTCGGCGTGGCCGTGATGCAAACGCAGGTTGATCCGCAAATAATAATGTGCGCACATACCTTTCGTTTCGGACGTGAATTCGTATTTTACTCGTGATATTTCACTTTAAAAAATGAAGTTAGGTAAACTACCGTGATTAAACTCCCCTAAAACCTAAGATCGAAATTCCGCCCATTGAAAAAAAAAACTTTAGAGCTGTGTAAAAAGTATTTTTATTCGTTCGTTTCTAACTCCGCTTGTCCTGGCCAGGGTCGCGGTGGCAGCGTGTTGAGTAGGGCGATCCACACCTCCCTTTCCCTTGCGACAGACTCGAGCTCTACATTACTATACACTACTAAACACTACACTATACACTACACTACTATACACTACACTATACACTACACTCCTATACACTACACTACTATACACTACACCACTATACACTGCACTACTATACACTACTATACACTATACACTACTATACACTACACTACTTTACGCTATACACTACTATATACTATACACAGACTCGAGCTCTTCCAGGGGAATTCCCAGGCATTCCCAGGCCAGCCGAGCGACACAGTCCCGCCAGCTTGTCCTGGGCCCGCCCCGGTGTCTTCGCCCAGTGGGACGTGCTGCTGCCCGGTAGAGTTCCAGGGGGAGTCTACCAGGGGGGTATCCTTACCAAGTACCCGAACCCCCTCAACTGGCTCCTCTCGATCTGGAGGAGCAGTGGCTCGACTCCGAGGCTCTCCCGGATTACCGAGCTCCTCACTCGATCACGGAGAGTGAGCCCGGCAACCTTGCGGGAAAAAAAACTAATTTCGGTCCCTTGTACCCACGGTCTCATCCTTTCGTTCATTACCCAAAGCTCATGACCACAGGTGAGGGTGGGAATGTAGATCGACCTGTAAACTCAGCTCCCGCTTCACTACCATGGAACGGTACAGCGGCCGCAGTGTTGCGGCCGCTGTACCGCTCCCACTCACCGTCACTCGCGAAAGAGACCCCGAGGTACTTAAACTCCTCCACTAAGGGCAGCTGTTCCTCACCTGGAGAGAACAATCAACCGTCTCCCCGGAGTGAACCACGACCTCAGATATGGAAGTGCTGATCCTCATCTCAGCCCCTTCACACTCGGCATCAAACCGTCCAAGTGCACGCTGGAGATCACGGACTGACGAGGCAAAGAGGACAACGTCATCTGCAAAAAGCAGCGACGCTAACCCTCCGTGCCTCCGTGCTGGATAATCTCCATACTGCATCTTCGCCTTGATATCCTGTCCATGAAAATCCCAAACGGGAGTGGGAGACGATGTACCCTTGGCGGAGTCCAACACCGACAGTGAACGACTTTGATTTAACACCAAGAATACGGACACAACTTTCACTCCGGGAATAGAGGGACCGGATAGCGCACAAAGCCGGCACCGGTGCATCGTACTCCCAGGGCACCTCCCCCAAGAAATTGCGGGGAACACAGTCCTGGGCCTTCCCCAAGTCTATAAAGCAGAGGTAGACTGGAGACGCATACTTCCATGACCCCTCCAATATCTGTCAGAGGGAAAAGAGCTGGTCCCATTGTTCCACGACCAGTGAATACGAATCGTTTAGTGCGAGTGGTGTTTAGAGAGAGAAGTGAATTCGTTTTGTCACCAGGGATGATGGTGGTGGTGGTAGGGTCTGGGTGGCCCGCGCAAATAATTGCATCGGCTGAGCGGTCCTAAACAAATTTTGACAAACACAAATCCTAGCTCGTTAACCCCCGAGCCCAAGATTCGATGATTCCCTTTGCCTTACCCGTGAGAAATCCGCGCAAGGGAATTACCCCAACGTCTCCTCGCTTGCCGCGACACGGACGCTCACGACCTCGGGAACGTTTTACTTCCCGGAGCGGGCGGCCCTACATGCGCTGTTTTCATTGCTCGCGTTCATACATTTTTACCTGAAGTTAGGTTGAAGGAAAACAAATGTATCTATTTATCTACGTATAGGTAATATATCGATTTGTCTATTTATAGATTTTTTTTTTCTTAAATGTGCGCGCCCTAACGCCAGCTTTTGCAAGAGGGCCCAGGTGCGTTGCCCCACGCCAACAACCCGGCAGCGTTGTGGGGGGCCCACGGGGTTGACGGTTCGCAACGAGATTCGTGAAACTCCCGCACCTGTTGGGCTGTTGGTTCGCCGGAACGTGGCGGTACAGCACGTGGGTTGTGAGCTCGTGTGTGTGGCTGTTTTTTTTAGCGTTATACCGGCCCGCATGTGCCTGCTAAGGCTTTTAGGGTTCTCTGGTTATTCCTCGTACAGTGCAGGCAAAGGCGCTCGGAAATGTAATTGGCCAAACATCCCAATGTAGCCGGGCCCTCTTGAGATAACAGTAAGGCTTTCCCGGGTATTTGCCTACGAAAATAAATGTCAATAGCGGTCATTGTAATAGAAACGGACTCTTGCCTGGTAAAACAAACACATTTTTACTGTTCAGATCGATTGAAATGTTCACATTTCTGTGTGCTGGGCACAAGAGATCTTAGTTCTGTCATCAGAGACTTCCCAACGGTGGCAGAGAAATATGAACGCAAAGGGGGCAGCCCTGAGGTCATATGATGACCTTGTGGTCACATGACAGCCTGGAGGCCACATGGACTTCCTCTGTTACATCTTCAATCACCTGCTTAATTTTGACCTCGGTGAGAATTGTTTTCCGCGTGGGACACGCATTTTTCGATTTAACGTTTTAGTGGAACGATTCTCACATTTAACTGCCATAGTTTTAGATTTTTTCCTTCAGTTATTTGCCCAAGGACAGGGTCCACGGCTGAAGCCTCCATCCCCGCCCACCTGATTCCACTACCTCCCTTCACCTCGCAACCCCAACGTCCCTCCGTCGTTGAGCCATGGCCAGGGTCACATGGTGGAGGTGATTTAACGTCTCCTTTCCTCAGCAAGTGTCGGGTATTTTTTTAGGTGGCACCATCACCTTGACACGGTTTAACACCATGTGTGTACGAATGTTGAACTTATTTTGCACCGTACGTAGCCAACCGTGTTAATCGGAGGTGCGGGGGGGAAGGACAACAAACTGAACACAGAACATTTCTAAAGAAATGACAACAATAGCATTTTAAACTCAAAGGCTATGTGTACAGAGGTTGAACGATTACAACTAGGTGAAAATGGAAAATTATTTTCTCTTAGAAATGAAATCTTTCAAGTTGTTCCCATCGTCATTATCAATTTCTTGCCTGTTCTGTGCCTCCCCTGTCAGAATGTTTTGTACTTTTAAATGTTGTTTTACCGACAGTATTTTTCAATTTTCTTACTCCATTATAGTTATTATTACAACTACTACTATGAGTATTTGTATTATATACAGTACATATGAAGCCATAATATTAGTCACTGCCTTTATGAATAAAAACATGTTTTTGTAAAAGATGTTATTGTATGATAAAAGGCTTGGAACATTGCAACTCGGAGTGGAACGGTTGTCGCAATTCAGGGTCGCGATCCGATTTAAAAAAAGATATCGATCCCATCTTAATACGTTGCGGTGAATGGCAGCACCTCTCGTGGCCTCGGGGGTGATGTGAACCCATTGTACGCGCAACACGCACCCAATTAAAAAACTAAATACGCCAACAGCAGAACGTGCAATTTCGTGATTGCGTCCTGAGCTTGAGAATCAATATGAATCGTCGAATTGGTACACCTCGACACGCCTGACCGCATCACAAACGGGCAGCGTTTTTGCTGCCGGAAGCGGGTTTTGTCAGCCGTGCGTCGAAAGTGCCACGTCGTAGCGCAGCGGTTGGGCCACACTTCCCAGTTAAACGGACAACGATGGGCCAACAATGGCACGTGGGTGGAACCTTTGGACTAACATTGGCCCAACGTTGGTCCGACATTCCATGCTTGGCGGTTTTCTGGCCGGACGAGCCTGACGTGCCAGACTCCCCATATGGCCGAGACCTACCAGGACCCAGCGCTGGCAACGGATCATCTGGAGCGGTCACGCAGCTGGATCAACCGGCGCTGGCTGGTTGTGAATTTTTTTTTTTAAGTCTGCAGGAGCAGCACCGAGAGAGTGATCGAGCTTGACGCCCTGGTAGAGTGACCATACCTTGGCGCCCCAGTAGCGTGATCGTACCTTGGCGCCCTGGTAGAGTGATCGTGCTTGGCTGCGTACTGCCAGGGGTGGGTGGCTGCCACTCCACTATTCGTCTTGACTATGGGTCCCATCATCTTCCATCGACGTGTCCTGTGCAAGGCCACTTACTTAACGGTTTGAACAATGTCGTGAGCCCGGTATGTTCTCTCATCCATGTGATCCTCTTTCTGTCTCTCAGTGTAGTTCCCAACATCCATCTCTCCACGCTTCTTTGGGTTACTTTTCAGTTTAGGTTCAACATTGTTCATGAATGACCGTGTTTCTGAGCCATATCCACAGCAGGTGGGACGCATCGATTAAACGTTTTCTTCTTTTGGGTTTTTTTTTTTAGCACTGATTAATCACACGTTGGTGTGTATTACTTTTCATTATTAAGTTGGGATTTGCACTTCAACTCTTTAGTTCTGAAAGGCTCGCAAGGTGCTTTGTCAATTCAAGTCGGTGCCCCCATTGCGTAAACTGTCTCACTTTAAATCTATGAGTCTCTACATCACCATAGCCCTTCTCCTTCCACGTATGTTTGTATGTATGTACGTCGATCTTCTTTCGCACCGTATGTAGCCAACCGTGCTAACCGGAGGTGCGGGGGAACGAGGATAACATCTGATTTGTCTCTTCTCGTCGCATGGCCCAATCCACCTGAGTCTAGCCTCCCTGACCTCCTCAGACTCGCACTCGGACTTTTACTTTAGCCTGTAAGCGGCTCTTTTGAAAGAATCAGATCATAATCTGTATGCAGACTGCAGGAGCAATCCGATGAGCTCTGAAGCTCTTTTTCACAGAGGTTCAGTATGGGCGGGTCAGCGACTTACAACAGCAAACAATACAAACAACCGATAGAAGTACTAAGTAGAGAGAAAGGTAAACAAGTCACTAATTGTAAATAAATAAATCGATTCATTATACAAGTTCGATTTATCAAGCTTGGTGAAAGCAGAAAAAACACCAACAAAACAGACCCAGACCACACCAACATAACAGACAGTCCCTCAATAAAATGGCACATTAACATCGAACTATCGACACGCGGGTGAGGATCAAAAATTACGAATCACGTTCGCAAAATGTGACTGCTGTATCCAGCACTGACTTTCTGCTTCAGGATATTCCACGGGCGACCACGGCCACTGAACCGTCGGCAGTGACGGCGGTCTCGGGCTGTTCGTCGTCCCTGCTGCTCGTGATGCGAGCATTATTTTTTTGCGCCCAGTTTCAATGGTCTCAGCTCCTTATTCACTC